CTCATTCAGAGAGATCACTGAAGCCCAGATTGAGAGCTCAAGCTGTGCGAGGTCTGCTTCGGGCAGAGTTGCAGAGTGGATCTGCTGGATGTGCTCCAGGGATAGCCTCTTCAGCTCTTGGAAGTCTCTGGAAGGCCACACATCTCCCCCAGCATCATGGGTAAGCTGCCAGTTGCAGAACGCGTTGTTGACATCATCTTGGCGGCTGTTCTTTGCGAAGCCTTTCCCCCGAAACTTCTGGTACTTCTGAAGCCTCACCGTCTCATGAACAACGATGCTGAAATCTGATGGTAAAGGTTGAAACACCCCTTCACATTCAACCTGTTCTTACGGGGTCTTCTGGTCTCTCTTCGCTCGTGGAGTCCTGAGTTTCCAGGATTGCTACCCAGTTTTAACACGTACCTGATCTGCCTGCCAGACATTGGCATATGTTGGCATCACAGTAAAGCTTGCCAATCTGAGCCAAGAATACGACATCCCTTTCATCCTTCCAGCAGGGGCATCACGTCCAGGCCCCGGCATGCGGGAACCTGTCCAGGCCACCCTTCAGGTGGTCTGTGGTCACATGCCGCCAGGCGCCAGCTGTCGTTCCAGAGCTGGCAGCACTGGTGACATGTGTTACGACAGGCATGAGGCCTCGTTGGCACTGTTCGCCATGCGAGAAGTACTGGGGAGACAGAAATTTTCAGCCTCCCCAGGCCTTCTCGCATGAATCTGCTCTCTGCCACCACCATCGGATATGTCGGATAAGGATCGAAAGGATGATCCAGGGGGGTGGCTCCTCACGTTCTTGCAGGTCAGGCGAGCCAAGTGGCTGCGAAAAGAGTTCGTAGCCACTTGGCTCGCCTGACCTGCTGCCGCCTCTGCCGCCTTGCGGGGCTTCAGATCCTTTTGGAGGCTGCGGCTCCTTGTCCTCCTCTCCGGGATCGACACGGGGTTCAGCTCAGTGGAAGCATTGGCAACTTTTAATTCCAAACTCACCTGCTCGTCCTCCCAAGCCTCGGCTGCCGTGTTTGCCTGTTCTGCTGTTGCCGCGCGAGGTAGCTATGCAAGCAAGGCTTCCTCGCTGGGCGACAGCCGGTTCCGTGGGCAATCTCCTGGGAGCTTGGGCCTCAGCGGCAAGCAGCAGAAATAGGCCTGTGTTCCGCCCATGGCGCTTGCGCCCCAAATTCAAATTTGCTTGGCGTGACCACGGCTGCGGCAGAGCCAGAGACGTGAAAATCATTGGGAAGAACTCCTTATGTTTTTTGACAGCCTTGGCTTGCAATGCTTGCGAAGACCTGGTGGGAAGGGATTTTCTGAAGATGTGCATGCAAGGCACTGGGGTGCAGAGCAGAAGCGGCCGGGCGGCAATCGGCCGTGACACCTATAGGTTTAGCAACCCCACTTGTCCGTGGGGAACAAACAAACAAACTAACACACAAGATCACACAAGCAAACATACATAGCCCTCATAATGCTGAGGCAACCGTCGGCACCTAAGGGAATCGATTACTTTGATTCCTGCAACCCATCGCATACCGCCGCTTTTTTCACGACGGCTGCTCTTCAACCCGCGCTATCCTGGCCAGAGCCCGGTCACCTGCTCACTGCGTCTCTCTGCAGACAAAGGTGGACATGGGGCGTCTGTAACAACCCTATGGTGACGGGGCGCTTCCTTGGTGATGCTCCTCAAACTCATCTCAGGCCGGTCATATCTTAGGCAGAGGTTAGTTCAAGAGATACGTGTTCGTCCACACCAGAAAAATTAACAGGACGACGAAGGTACGACAAAGGGACGACGGCGGGGCGACGGAGGCAGAGCACGACAGCGGGACGCCGGCAGGACGACAGCGGGATGACGGCAGCACGATCGTCGTCCCGCCGTCAGAAAGCCTGGAAAAAGTGCATGGAAAGTGCCAAACTCATTTTCAGAACCCTCGCATGTCTTAACCCAGATTCTTTTCATCCTTTCAGAATCTGGGGATTTCAGGGTTCGCCATTGAGGATCGCTCACGCCTCTAACGAGATCTGATCCCGTGGCATTCCTACTCCCAGAGCGCCTCTCTTGGCCATGGCCAGGAGGAAGTCACCAGAAGATGACTCTGAGCCTGTCGGCACATGCCATGCTTCCTTGCGGTATTGTCTAGATCCTGGCCGCTCATAGACCGAGGATCGCGCTTTCTGAAGACGACGACTCTTCTGCCGCAGCCTTCCTTGGCCAAGCTCCAAAAGAAGCCTTTCCCAAAAAAAAGGGCCGCTTTGAGCAAAGAAGTGGCGAAACAACCGCGCACATACAGTTCTGCCACCCTACACTGTGTCTAGTTCCGCAGGCCGCTCAAAGTCACTTGATGCCATTGCGCGGCTTCTCCTTCGCCTTCTTCTTGGCGCCGCTGGCGGTCTTGCGCTTCTCCTGTATCGTTTCATATGTGGGGGTTTCCAAACATAGGGGCACCTTTTTTGGGCGTCCCCTTTTAGGGGCTTCTATTCTATTTGGGGTATTAGAAAAGTGGTACCCCTTTGTGGGAAATACCCATATATCAGATGCTGGCGACAAGATGTGTTCACTCACAACTGGTACTGATTTCGCAAGGTACGTCCTTCGCGGGCTTCGCCTTCTTCTTTGGCTCCTCTTGGTGAGCCTCTGACGTGTAGATTCGCGCACAACGGGGTGGAGGAAGGCGGGCCGGGCAGTTTGTTATAGTGATGGATTTGCCGTCTTTACTATCGGACCATCTGTTTCATCAGTTGGTCGAAATGTTGGAGTAGTCATGCTGGCACCTGTGGTGTTTACCTGGTGTTTTCAGGTCGGAGAAGGTTACGGAGTATAAGAGGGTGATGACGTCCTTTGTTGGTTTGCTGGCTCAAGACCAATTCTCAAGGATGAGTCGTACTATGGGGTTATGAAGTCGACTCATCTACTACTTGTACCCATGATGTTTTATGGGGAGTGATACGCTTTCCATGACAATTATCTTCATTGAGTTTGCTTTATTCGTGTTGTTGTTGCTGCTATTGTTACCGCTTACGTTACTGATGCCCTTAGTCTTGTTGCCCATCAGAGTTCTCACCGTCATCGTCGTTTTTACATCAGCTTAGCAACATCCCACTTCGCGCTTGATGTTGTGCAGGAAGCCTCAGAAGCCTCCCCCTGACCAAAAGCTACTAAAGCGTTCCTCGGCTCCCGGTCCTGCTGGGTCGGGGGTTCGGCCTCCGGCTCCTCCGGCCCGGTCGAGGCAAGGACCTGCACAAAAATCGATTTTGGGTTTGGGGTTTGCCCGTTTCGGCAGGATCGTTTTTCCGGTGGCTGAAATCATTTTAGCCTGGAACCGGCTGATGGGACGTCGGACGCCTCCGTCTGACAACCGAGCATGGCGCCCACGGCGGCCGCAGCTGCAGCAGCTCCGGAAGAGGCTGCGTTCAGCGCCTCCAAACAAGGCTTTTGCATGTTTCAGGGCTTCGGGTGACTTGCCGACTCAAACAGGGCCATGATGCCAGCTTGCTGGATCAAAGCTTTGCTCTAACACCCTGCTCAGGCGTATGATTCTGTACAGTCTGGCTCGGCCCGGTACTTCCGTGGCAGCAAGCCCTGCCTGCTCGGACTGCCCGACGAGACGGAGGAAGAACCTCAAGAAGGTGCCTCGGCAAGTGAGGAAGCCTGGAATACTCTCTGTCCCTTGCGAGCATCTGGCGCTTCCGGAGAGATGCGTTCTCTCTGTAAACACGGCACGGAGCCCAACAAGATTAACAACTGTACACAAGGAGGCGGGGCTACCAAGGCTACATACTTCCTAGAGCTTACAACGTCACTTCATGTCAGTTCCCGAGGTAATAAGCCAGGGCAAGGGCCATCCAATGATGCGCCGACGCCGAGGGCTCGGGCGCTGGCTGGAAGCCGCGCCGCCAACCTATGACGTTGCTGCAGAGGAAGGGGGGTTGGATCGCCGGGGGTGGAGAAGTCCCCCAAACCCTATTATGGTATTGCTGTATTGTGTTTACATTATTACTCTCATTTTGACATATTCTTCTTCTTCTTATGCTATTGTGTTATTCTGCTATTCGCCTAAGTTTCCTCGATGTACTTATTACACCGGCTTGACAATCACTGCCAGGGACCTGCAAGTGCGGCGACTCCAATCCTGTTGGGCTCCGAAATGCTTCCCTCACTTTTGTCAGCCGGTATCATGGAGGGTTTGCCAGCCACCATTCCGTTCCGCGGGATCGCTGGTTTGCCCCATGGTTGCTAAAAAGTGGATCGTTTAGACCCTCCTGCAAGATTCAAGCTAACTAGGAATGTAAACCCGCAGAGTGACAACCGACCCTGAAAACTTGGAACGTTGGTTTTTTCCTGGTGCCCGTGCGTGCCGTACGCCCCAGTGTGGAGATCAATCTTCTGTTAAGGCCAAGAAGCAATGGTAGGACCATTCGCTCCAGACCGGAGAGCCTGTGCTTTGAGTTTGGGGCTTAGGAAAGTCCATGAAGCTTAGCAACAAGGCCAACTTCCGACCCTGAAGAGTGGCATGCCACTTAAGCTTGGGGTCAATGCATCTACAGCGTTTTCGTGGATCCGGGACACGCTCATCAGGCAACTTGCAACTTCTGAGGCGAAGCCCCTAGCCCCTGTCACAGATCACACAGGAGAACGGGATGGTTGCATGACATGTGGTTGATGCCGATGCCGAAGCGTTCAACATACTCACCCTAGCCCACCCATCGTCACACACTCCCTAAGGCTTCACGAAAGCACAAAAGCCTTGTTGCTTATGCCGAGGGTAGGCTTTGTGAAGCGCACTCAAGACTGCAATCAACCGTAGGGCCCTTCAACAAAGCAGTGACAAGCCCTCCCTCCTTGCCCTCTGCTTCCGGGCGGCCCCTCACGTCGTTTTGCCTCCGTGGGCCCACCACGTTGGAAGGCTAGACCGAGTGTGCCTCAACCGCAGTGCCGACGCGCGAAGGTTTCTACAGTCTTCTACGGGATTCTTCCGTTTCTGTACATCCCAGATGCATTACAGTTTGGAAGTTTGGAAGGTTTCCGCAACCCACAGTGAGTGACTAAGCAGGTGCCTCCACACTAGCGCACCGGTATGCCGGCTAGGATTGTTTATGCTCTTGCCTCCACATTCAAGACCCTGCCATGATCTGCACAAATGAGCAAGGACGACTGCTAAGGCGAGTAAGGCATAGACCCGTGGACTCTGGAGCATCTTTCTTTGCGGCAACCAGCGCTGCCACCTTGGCACCTGCCCGGAAGTCGCATGCAAAGGCTGGCATGCGCTTCTACAACCAGCCCCACCGGCCTTTGTCCCCGAGCAGCACCTTGCGCACAACACCCAGATCCTGCCGGGCTCAAGTTGGTAAGACATTCTTGTGTAACCTTCTATGAGCATATGCTGTGCCATGCCGTTTTATTGGGCCTCTCCTGCAACCCTGGGCGGCAGCCTTCAACGACCAAGGTGTCGCCCTTGGCCTGCATCTGTTCCCGGAGGAGTCGGAGCAAATGCATGTGTGGAGTCGGATTTGTACCGAGTGTCGGCAGGCGCTGGCTGCTGTGGCTTGAATGGGCTTCATGGCTCTCTGTCGTCAATGTCCACGCGTCAGAACATAGCAGTGGATGGTTCCTAAACGTTCAACTGTTCACAAGCCGCTTGCATGACAAGCGGCATAAGTCCTCTCTGACTTCCGGTAATCGTGTCGAAATGGGGCGACATGTCCAACCTGGCCCAACTCACTCTCGCCGCCGTCAACGCCCCGTGAAAGCCATTGTTGATTGCTGCGGCGAAGTTTCACAACGTAGCTGGGAGTGGGACCGATTGAGGCGTGGTGCACAGCTCGACCAAGTAGATGACACCTTGGACAACACTGCTCCGGTAGATCTGCGGTCTCACATCACAAGGGTTCAGCCGTGAGTCTCTCTGTCCGCGGCCAGCGTGATAGTTGTGACGCCTCCACAAAACCTCAGACGATAGTTTTACTTTCTGGCCCAGAACATCCACAATGTCGTAGTTGACCAAACAATGGTCGGGGCGCAAGGTCTGAGGCGTGCTCAGCATGCAGAAGTCAACAGAGCTGTCTCCATATTCTTGTGAAGTTCAGAGAGAAGCAGATCAGTTTCCTTCCCTCCCCCTCACCCCACCCAATTTTTCTGTCCCGAGTCCGCCATGGTTTCTGTTACGGGCGGGGCCTGGTTTTTGGTTCTGTTTCTTGGTGGTTTCGGTTTCGTGGCCAGGCTTCGGGACCCGAGCTGGGAGCACAGGAGATCCGGGCAACGTCCCACACTGAGGCTGGGGACAAACAGCCCCAAAACCACTCCCAGACCCTCAGCCCCCGAAAATCCGGTAATCCCCTAACAGCAACCTACTCAGCATTCCTAAAGCCCCACACGGGGGTTTCCGTCATTAGGGGGTACCTCATGGGGTGTCCCTACTCGAAAATCCTACTAGTTGGGGGACTATAATATTGGGGCCCCTGATCTTCCTCAAACCCCCCACATCTTGGCATATTCCCCCCTCATACCACCAGTCCTTAATAGGCATTGTAGTACCCCCTATTATAATCCCTCTTAAGGACTGGATTATAATCCCTCTTAAGGACTGGTAGTATAAGGGGGAACATCCCAAGCCACATCTCCAGCTTCACCATGCCTTTTCCGCCAGGCAGCGCGGGAAGAGCTCCGCGGGCGAGGCGAGGCGGAAGGCCAAGCGCCGGCCCTGCGCCTCGGCCTCTGCGCTAAAAAGGGTTTTTTAGAAGGGGATGAATATAGGGCTTAGGGTTTTTAGGGTTTAGGCGCCAGGTAGGTTGCAAAGGGTGCCAATTCCATTGCGCTGCCTCGCCTCAGAAATGACCCAGGAAGCGCCTGGTGGTGGAGGTGGCTTTCCTTTGAACCGCATGTGTGATCCCCCCCCGCAACAAAAACTTGTCACCTGAAGGATGTTTCCTGGGCTTGAACTTGAACACCCTGCGCTGACCGTGTGCATGCCCAGTCCTTTCCCATCGACCTGCTCATCCCACGGCTGTGGAGCCGAAACCTTATTCCCACGAGAAAGCTTCGAAGACTTCTGCGTGAGCGTAGAAAACAAAGGCGGTTTCAATTGCGAAAACAGACAGATTTCCAAGGTCTAGGTAAAGCGATTGTGTCAAGCGCAGCAATCTGGGACGCCGACCTTAGCACCCACAGCACCATCCACGGAGGCGAGCCATAGCCGAGCCGTGGTCTGACACAGCCAGGGCGGAAATCTGGAAAAATGTATATATATATATATCATTTATTATTATTATTATTAGTTTTTTCATTTGTATATATATATATATACATATTGTATACATCTTATCCCAATCTTGTGCAGACCCACTTGGCACTCGAACACTCGATTTGGGTCCAAAGTGGCCTCAGGGACTTGCACGACTCCGCCCGCCAGAAGCTGAAAACTGACGAAGCGCCGGCCAGCAGGATTGACAACAGTCCGGGACCTGAGGGTCAGCTCCGAAATGCTAGTAGGCTCACATTGGTGGGTCATGGCTTAGCATCAGAAGCTCCAGCTCTGCCCCCAGCATCGCATCATATCGCATCCAAGACACACTTTGCCGGCTCCAAAGCTTGTGAGCGCAAGGCGGCCGATGGCGGCAGAAGGGCCAGTCTCCTGAGAGAACAGCGCAACTTTGGAAATCGGGGAATCTTGCTGCATCTCATCTACCCTATTGGTGTCAAGTGCCTATGAAAGAAACTGCATCCCTCAGTATTGAAGCTATCCTCTTCCCAGTCGTAGTTGTCCAACGCCTTGGCTGCAAGCTGTTGCAAGCCGATTGCCAAACGCTAAGCAGTCAACTCGACCGAGAGATGCGGTTTCGTGAAAGATGTAGAGAGGAGGTTTCGGTTTCCAGGTCTGAGCACAGGCTGCCAGCGGCTAAAGGCCTTCGGAGCTGCTCTTACACTCCAAAGCGTTAGCAGTGGCAAGGCGTGACGGGCGTCATGGTTGCACGATCTGTGCATTAAGCTTCGTCGAGGCTGAGCCCTCGGCCGCTTCCTCCTTCCTCCGCTTGTCCTCCTCGGATGGCGATGGCCCAACCCTGACCCTCGAATCCTCGGTGACATCGTGACATCCGAGCAGTCCTCGGCAGTACGCCGGGCGTGGGCTGCTGCGGCTTGGGCGGCCTCCTCGGCCTCAGAGAACTTCACTCCGAATCCCATCCTGAAAGCAAGTGCTTGGACATTGCTGCAAGCGTTGTAAGCAGTCTCTACCTGGGGCTTTCAACAATATCGATACGGCAATGGGAGTTTGCAGCTAGGCCGGGAAGCAATGATTGTCACTTGGCATGTCCTTAAACCCACATAACATTCGTGTCAAGCTCTGCGGGCAGGATCTCACTAAGCTGTTGAAGTAATAGAAATGCTTGAATGTGCGGGACTCCTGTGTCACCCGAGATTGCTGCATGAACGCAAGTTTCAGCTGAAGGCATTTGTATGACCTGCCTCCACGGAGAAAGCTGCAGTGCAAGCAAGAATAAGTCAGAGATTTGCGTGACTCAGGGGTTTCCAGGTTTCCTTCAAGACCAAAAAGGTCACTCAGTAGGCACTGATTTGCTCATGTGACTGTCGCTTTAAGGCCAAGAGACCCCGGACTAAAGAACAATGCAAACCTGCAAAAGTTGGCGAGCTCTGACTGCTCCAACCAGCGCTCACACTGTAGCTACGTGCCTTCGTGGTCTCTTGGTCTCTTACATACAAGTAGCCACTCGCTTGTCTCTTCTTCCCAAGGCACGCGGGCTGCAGCAGCATCCAGCTCTTTTTGCTTCTTCAGCATGGCCTGGTATTCCTCAGCGGCGTTTGCGTTGTCAGGAATCCCTTGAATCTGTCTCATGTCTACGATGGGCCAGTGCGCCTGCATGCTGATGGCCCGCTTCTTCTCGCGCAGGCGCTTGACGCGCGTTCCGCTGGACGTGGAGCCTTAGATTCGTGGTGCGAAGGAAGGCGCAAAAGGGTTCGGATTCGCGCGCAGCACATGATCAACCTCGTGAAGGGTGATGGGTCGAGACGAGCCTAGCTTTTTGTGATAAACACGAATTCCGACCGCTTTGTAGGGTGAGGGACTAAAATACGGACCATCAAAAGGCACCGTTTGAGAACCAGTGAGACACTCTACATCGCAGACTTGGAACCTCCAGTGTTTCTCCGACATGAATTAGTATCGTTAGTTTCATTTTATCATTGTTATTTTTCTTATCGCTATTCTTTGGAATATTATTATTATTATTATTGTTATTATTATTGTCATTATTATTATGATTATGGTTATTATTATTGTTATTATGATTGTCATTATCGTTATCATCATCATCATTATTATTCTTATTATCATTAACATTATTATCATTATTGTTTTTTGTTATTGCTAAGCTTCTCTGCGCTCATTAGCGTCCGGGCTGCTGTCCCGGCTCTTTGGCCGTTCGCTTGCTCTGCCATCCGTGCGACCCTCGCGCCGTGCCGCCGACTCTAGCACCTTGCTGACATGGGTTGGTTTAGGGTTTAGGGTTTAGGGTTTAGGGTTTAGGGTTCAGGGTTTAGGGCCATGGCCGGAGGTAACACTTCTGGCAGCAACACACGCGCGACGTTTTCGTGCAGTTGGCTTTGCAGCTTAGCAGCAAGGCTGCTAAGCTTTAAGAGAACTAGTTGAGCCTGAAGCAAAAGTCCCCTAAAACCTACCCCGTCCCCACGAAAAACTTAGGGCTCAGAATTTGGGGATCCATGCCTCTGCAGCACGGTGGCGGCGGCCGCGCAGCTCTTCCCCGCCTGCAACTTCCTGCCGCGCAAGGGCTCAGGGTTTCAACGGTTTAGGAGCTACAGGGTTTTGGGTTTGGGTCTTAGGGGGCTCTTGTTGCGGGTTGGGACACAGAAGCCACCTGCTAGCGTCATTTCACAAGACTTTTGCCGGGTCATGCCTCCTCTGCCTCCTCCTCCTCCTGCAAGCGCTTGCGTAAAGGCACGCCTGACGCAGCAACAAGTGCCAGGACGTGGCCGCGCCCTGCGTGCATGTGCGTGCATGTGCGGAAGGTATGTCTGCGTGCATGTGTGGCTCATGAACGAGCAAGCAGGACGCATGGGAATCAGGAAGGACGCGGCTCCGGTCGCGCCCGGCTTGGACACTACTTACGATACCAGGACATCCAACTTCAGATGCCCTTTCTCTTGGCCCCAAGATGCCCTCAGCTCCCAGCCTGATGCTTTGGGGTCCACAGAGCCCAGCGTGGGGATGAAGGGTCTCAGAAGCTCCTTGGCCTTCCTTAGACAGGGAAAAAGGGCCGGCGCGGCACGACTGAGGCTGCCATCTGGTGGGATGAGATCGCCACGCTAAACCCACTTCTGAGAGGCCTGAGAGCCCTGCAGCCGAAACATTATTGCTATCATTCGTATTATGACTACTATTAGTATTGTTAGTGTTAGGATTTTTCATACTCTCGCGATTGATAACCATTCATATTATTATCTGAGCCCCAGAGCAGAAGTCGTGTCATCTTCGGCCTGGGCTCTCCACTTTGTCCGGTGCCCCGGAGACCAAGAGCCTCTGTTCACCGCCCTCTTCGGCGGCTGGGAGGACCTTGTGTAACAAAATGATATTTATAATAAGCTTAAGAAGGCTACTAAAAAACCAGGTGGAGACAAATAAGTCTTGCGTCTTAGGTGTCGTAGAAATCTTGGCAGCTCTGACTCTGTCGTTGAGGGGCACCGGCTGCTACTGGTACTGCGAGACTGCACTGCGCTGTGCAGAGTGCAAGGAGGACTTTGAAGACCGACTTCCGAACGGCCGCATCAAGAAATGCCACAGCGAGAAACCACAGGCACTAGTGACCGGCGCTGATGACTACCAAGCTGCTCGCAAGCGAGCTCCGCTCATGTCCTCCATTTTCTTGATGTTCTCACCACCCTCGACACAGGATGTCGAAGACTGAGGCTTGTAAGTGTCTTGACTTGTTGACTGCTTGAGCAGCTTCTCCGCACCTTGCCGATAAGCCGGCCGATCTTCCCGGGCGGTACCTCGAAGGATTCTTCGACATCTTCGATGCCTCAGGGCACCGGCTTGTCAACTATTCGCCGAAATGCCCACAGCTTGGATCGCAGAGCGAAGCTTGGGCCTCGAAGGAACCTTTCGTGAACCAGGCCACGCATACCGCGCCCGCTGAATTCATCCAGGAAGTCCAAAACAATCCTGGCTGGACCACATCGGCAAATTCTGCAACACATATTTTTGGTCAAGTGGTTGCAGTTGCAGTGACGTCATTGCTCGAGATTTAGCTACAACTTGCGCCCAAGAGGGGGGAGACGAAAGCTCTGCGCCGAAAGGGAGCGCAGCTGAGGGCATGGGGCTTGTATGGTTGAAGAGGAGTCGTGGCGTGTGAGGGTTGCGGGGTTTAAGGCGTACCCTCAAGAGAAACCGAAAAGACACTGGAAGCCTGAAACTCAAGACCGCGGTCTGAAAGAAGGAGGCCCTCCGTACCGCGAGAGTAGATCTACATAACATAGGGACATTCTCCGACATGTGCCACCCAGATAAGCAGATCCAACACCGGCTATGGGCCGGAACGCTCCCCCCCCGCCCACACTATCCCAGGAGCTTTCGTAGCTACTTCGGGCGATGGAAACGCGAAGAAGTCCAATACGTGGCCGAGGATCTTCTTTGCTTGTTTGACTTCCTTTGCATCGCCTCGGATGGTGCAAAGCCAAGCTTAGCACCGGTGAGCAGCGCGCTAAGACGTGCCTAGCGCGGTCTCGAGAACTCTGGAGACTTGGAGAATTCCGAAAGCCTCGAAGATGAGACAAGGAGCCGTTGATCCGGAGCCGTTGATACTCCTCCTTCGGTGCATGCTTGAAACGATTTGTCTTCGCCTTGACGTCCGCGCTTGTGGCCAGCCGAAACTTCAGAAGCCCATGCCGGGCCCGGTAGAGGCCCGGGCCTTCCTTGGAACCTGGGATGAGCTTCGGGGGCTTGTAGGGTTTAGGGTTTCGGGCCTAGGGTTTAGGGTGTCAGGAAGGAGGACTTGCGTGAGAATGCAACGCAGGTACTTAGGTCACTATAGGTCCTAAGTGAGTTAGCTGTGCCGCGAACTCCTTGCGTGAAGGGACCGTGCTCTACATCGTCGAATCCTTTGCCCAGACTGTCCAAGGCCGCTTTGGCGTCCGAGGCAGATCTGAAGCTGACCACCATGCTGGATTTGCTGATGTGCTCCTTGCAGGTTTAAGGTTTAGGGTTTAGGGTTTAGGGTTTAGGGTCAATCAATAGCGACAGGCCAGAAACTTAGGGCTTCGCCCATGTTCCCCCACGTCTGGACGACTTTTTGGGATGGGCGGGCACTGACCTGTGAGGAATAGCTGACAAGCTTCGACTGCCACCATCTCCGGCAAGCTCTTCGCCTCCAGTACCTGAGCGAGCATATGATGTAATCATAAACAATATTCTGATACCAGAAACGTAATCATATACGAAAATATTGCTATAACAATGAACCAATATAACAAGATCATCATAACACTGTGATTGTGGGGACCTTTCTTAACTTTTGGGCCCGGCCTCGTCCAAGTGCATCTTGGTAAGGTTCTCTGCGCCAGAGATGCAAATGGCCTCTGGCCTGGTGAAGTCTGGTGAAGTATGTCACCCTAGACCCGAAACCCTAAACCCCTCTATGCCCTAAACCCAGCCACTGAGCTTCAGAGTGGTAGTCCTAATTTCTCAAGGCTGTCCTGGGACGGAAAGCGGTGAAGTGACCCCCTCGCCAGGCCTGGGTGTGGAAGGCTTTGACGCAGCTTTGCTGTTCTTTCCATCCTGGAAGAAAAGCTTCTGACACATCTTCAGACACTTCTTCTCGCGAGAGGCCGGTGCCCGTACTGCGTGCATCCGTATGTCGCCTCCGCCGGCACATCACCAGGATCCTCGGTTTGTGCAGCCGCTGGAGCATCTTCGGCCGTGGCGTCCTCGGCTGTGGAAACCTGGCAACCGGGTCGGGCTCGCAGATTCAGACTTGGAGCAGGCAAAAGGTGCGAAGTAGCTCGAACATCACACCAAGTCACCAGCCCATCTCACTTTGAATTTCTGGTCTCCAAAAGAGCCCACAGCCCGTGGATGCCTTCTCGGGGGCATAGGTGTCGGATGTGAGAATGTAGCGTACGCGGATGGGGAAGTGGCGATGGCGTAGGCCCTTGGCGATCTCCACTGCGTTCCCCTGACAGGAGCATGCGGGTACAACTCTGCGAGGCTATTGCAAAGCTGCAGCTCAGCTACTTCCTGGGAAAGATCTGCATCGGTGCCGAGTGTGCTTTGCGCGAAGGTCGGCAAATTACTGTAACGCCAAGTGAGGTCAGAGTACAAAGTCTCAAATGACTCTTCCCCTCTTGTAGAATCACCCTAAACCCTAAACCCTAAACCCTAAATAGAATCGGTCACAGTCCAGGAGCCCCTCCTGCCTCCTTGTCGATGATGGTCAAGTTCTCGGGATACACCAGAGTGACGCCAGCCTCTCCCATCTTGCGGTACAGCATCCTCAAGCACAAGTCTATACTCCCCTTAGAACCTTAATAAAAACAATATCTTTTAATATTCAAGGATCTTCAGGCAATTACGCGGACTGCGGCAACCTATCAACCTATCGTCTGGGTGTCGGGTGCCCGTGGGCCATGAGACGCTGTGGAGTTGAGACGCTCATCCCAGTTCTCGAGATTGTACGCAACAAACTCCACGGCTGGCACAAAGTTCCTGGCAACCGTCGCTGCCCCGCTCTCAAGCACGTGGCTCTGGAAGCTCTGAGACTTGAACATCAGGAGGTGTGAAAGGCTGCACACTCCAAAGGCAAAGTAGCCTTTTGAGAAATCTTGGCATGTATTTCTTGTTTCGCCTGCGGCCCTTGGGTGCCGCATCGGTCGTTTTGTCAGCCTTGACCTGCCCAGAAAAATGTGGTCCGTAGACCCGACAGGGTGACGGAGGAGTGTCTTGCCGAGACGGGCGTCTGCGTGTGATGCTGTGTCATGAAGCGCCTCTTGGAGGAATGCCGCCAGGTCTTCTGCATAGTCTTCTGCCTTAAGCAAGAACGGCAGCATTCTCTAACAGCTGGTTCTCTTTGTTTGTACTGTTACTCTATATGTGGAGGGTGGTCTTGTTGTGTACGTCAGCATAGAATCCTACGGGTGCTGCAGACGCCTATGTGTCACTACTCACTCACGCACTGTTGCACCAGCATGTGTACAGCAGCTCGCACCTCATCTTCTTCCTGCTCTTCCGTGGCCTCCTGGCCAGCCGGCGGCGCCGACCCAGCCTGGCGATCAGCGCACACATCTCTGCAACCACTGTGCTACAAGGTTGCTAGAATGTTGCTACAATGTTGCTAGAATGTTGCTACAAATCTACTACTGCAATGTTGCTACAAGCAGGCCACCAGACTGGGCCCCGGTGCCTTCGCCTCCTCCAAAAACGCGCGGAGGTCGTCGCCGCTGCCTTTGGGCACTTGAGGTTCCTCGGCACAGCTGTTCACGAGGTGCCGTTTCCGAGGCAACGATTGCTTTGAAGGTTGGAACACATTGGAATCTCATTGGAACGCACATGAATTACCACCTGCATTGGACGTCGGAGACTTTGAGATCTTCAGCCTGCTGTTGAGTAGCGTCCTGCATCTCAACGTCCTCGTCGTCATCCTCCAGGATTGCGGGATTTTCTTACTTGTGACGACCGCAGCTTTGTTCAGAAGCTCCTGTGCTGCTTCCAGGAACTTTCGCATATCGTCGCCGGCACCACCTGTCCAGTTCCGGGAAATTCAGAGTCACAGTGCACTTGGCACCTGTCACTTCAGTGGCGCACATGTGCCACACTGTGTTGTTGGATGATGTTAGCCACCGAAACCGCGAGATGTGAGGCAGAGCGCCCAGCTGGAAGGCCTGTGGTCTTTTTGGTGTTGGCTCCAGGGGCTTGCCCCACTTCTGCCGGACCTCCATCGAACCGCAGGTCCTTGGTATGTACTTGCAACTTCCGGACGACAAACCTGAGGAAGTCTCCCCTGATCTCGAAGGTCAGTTTGAACTCAGGTCTGTGCTGCACCCGTGTCATCACAAATCTGCCGGATTCGCTCCCCCTTCTTCCCGATGATGCGCCCCACCAGGTTCACCGGTACGTCGACCCATTCCTTGACACATGTTCGCTCAGTTGAAGGGCCTGAATGCATGGGACAAAACAGGGAAGACCCACCAACGCGTCTCGCGGCCAAGTGTCTTCCACCTCAGCTTGATCATGCTCTGGATCCTGATCCTTCCCCGTGTCCTGGTCCACCCCACGCGCATCCACAATGACCATGCCGGCTTCGATTCTGACGACCTCGCTTGGTTTCGATACTTGTCAAGACCTATCTGTCCTCGCCCCCTTGATTGACCCAGCAACTCCTTTGCGGTTGCACCGAGCCTCCGAAAATTGAGTCCATGTCTTTTGAGGTTCCCCCTTATACTAACAGTTCTTAATAAGGAACATAATAAGATCCCTATGATTAAGGACTGAGGGGAACCTTATACTAACAGTTCTTCATAGGGAATAGAATAAGATCCCTACTAAGGACTGTTAGTATCAGGGGGAACATCCCAATATATCCCAATTATACTAGTTCTTAATCGGGAACAATAAGATCCCTACTAAGGACTGTTAGTATAAGGAGGAACATCCCAATCAATGTCTCTGTTGCGGCCCAAGCAGCCTTGACGTACAGCTTGGCGCCAAGGATGGCGGGCCGCTCGTCGCTGCGGCGCCGCAGGAGGCCCTCAACGTAGCCTGAGGTGGTTTAGGGTTTAGGGTTTAGGGTTTAGGGTTTAGGGTTTAGGGTTTAGGGGGCCCAACGCACAGACCCAGCGCACTAGAAGTGCAAGACAAACGTTTCCTTGTCGCATGTAGTCTGCTAGGCTCTGCCAGATGCTCATTTCTGGCTTCGTCGCACGACATGAACAACGGCTCTGGGCACTGGCAAAACAACATGGAGATCCGGAGAAAGGCTGGAGCGTGTTTGGGAGTGACTTTCGTGGCGTTCTGAAGGCTCTGCATGGAACTCTGTGGTATGCTTATGTCTAGGATGTAAGCCTGCTGATTTGTCCAGCTGCCACAGGCGCTGCTCTAAATCGAATACTTGCCAGGATTTCTAGTTAGTCGCGCTTCAGGAGGTCAAATCCGAAGAGTCTGCCCCCAAGATCGCAACAAGCAGTATGACTGAGCAAACGCAGTACCTGACCACTACTCGCTCCTGCCATGAGGGTTGATGGTCTAAGAGGGCCCACTTGTTGAGAATTGAAGCCAGAGCGTTGTTCAGTCTTGGGACCGGATGAAGCGCCTCAAAGTCCCCCAGCCACCTCTACATGGTCACCACATGCGTCTCCAAGGGTCGCTGGGGTGAGTCGTCGCTGAGCAGGACCAGCGCCCCTTTGGGGGTCAAGAGCTGGACCTCGCCTGCGAAGATCGCCGGGCTTCGGCTTGGGGACTTTCATCGTTTGACATCCATGAATTATGACAATTATGATATGTCACCAGGTATTGCCAGATGGTCACAGTTCACGCCCCGACCCGAAACTGCAGGGTCGCCTGTCATCACGCTGTGAAGCGTTGGGATTGCTGGCGCTGCCGTGATCTGTGGTGGCATGGGCGCGCCTGTGCAGGAACACGAGGCCTCTCGGTCACTCTCTCGTTTCATTCCGATCTTGAAGCCCGAACATCCATCCTCAGCCCAGGCCTGGCTTGAACACCGAGGCCTTTGATGGCGCAGCATGCGCAGCAGGCATGGCCATTGCTGGCATGTGCATCGGCATTGGCCACGCATAGGGCCAAGGCCTCCACCGCAAGCGCACACACAGACACACGCATTCACATTCACACCCCAGAGCACGCAGTGCACCCGGCTGTCCGCCGAGTTCTGAGTCTCCAACATGCTGGCTTGCGACTGGCTCAGCCCAGACTGGCTCAGCCCAGACTGGCTCAGCTCACGCCGCCGTGGGCGATCCCTGCGGTTGTGGCACAGAGGGAAGCTTAGGCTCAGCCCACAGGGCATACCAATGACTCAAAGTCAGTAGCAACCTGTCCAAATTCTCTGGATCAGTCCTGTAGGACCTTTGCTTCTGGCCTTCGTAGCAGTCAGGAGACGCTGTGGAGCTCAAGTACGTCAACACGGTGCACCTTCCTTTCCTTCCTTCTTCTCCTTCTTCCGCTTCTTCTCCTGCCGGTATGCCGTGCGCGCATCGTGCTGTGGCCAACATGGTTTTGCAATTTTTTGCACCTTCTTGTACTTGCTGACATCTGGCGAAACTGCTCTGCCTGCGGCAAGTGGTGCATGCAGAAATCTTTTGCGTGAAGCGGAGCTTGGCTATGGTCGATGAGGCTGGAATGCAGGCATTGCGGCAATGCTTGCCACATGATTACGTGCTGCTCTGTTCTGCCCTTGCCAGCAAAGACCAACGCAAGCCCACCAACAAGTCGGAAAAAGTGTGACCGAAATGACTTGCAATGTAAACCCTGAACCCTGAACCCTGAACCCTACCATCCGTGGTGGTCGGGGCGACAGGGGAGTTTCTTCGTCAGTCTCAGCCTGCGCCTGCGTCGCGCCGCTTCTTTCGGGGCGGCTCCTCAAGCTCCGGGGAGGGCGTCTTGAGCCGAAGCGCCTCGGCCTCACCAAGGAGAAACCGTTCATATATATATATATATATATGTGCGTGTGTGTGTGTGTGTGTGTAGGTGTATATATATATATATATATTTTTATTTATACTTATATTGATATGTTTATGTAGCTTTATCTTTGTAGTTATATTCTGTTTATCATTATGTATATATTTATATTTCTATTTATCCTCATATTTATATTTATGTATATAATACTATAATTTACTATAATATAATATACTGGAACATCATATAATATAATATAAAACAGTATGCTATGACATAATACACTATAATATAACATAACGCAATATGGTATAGTTTTACATAGTATGATACAATTTCATTTCGTATAATGTAATATACTGTAATAAAGTATAGTCTATATGTAAATACAGATACGGAAAATGTATGTATATAATATGTATATATATATATATATATACATTATACGTATATCAAGAAGGCTATTGGCCAAGTCTTGCTGCTTTTGTGCAGTCTCCTCTCGGAAGCTCTGCGCCTCTTCGTACAGATTCTCCTCAGAGTCCTCCGAGGCAAGCAAGCTCCAACCACATCTTATACAAAAGGGTTTAAGCTTGGGGTTTAGGGTCTAGGGTTTTGGGGTTTAGGGTTTAGGGGAGGCTACAGTCTGCCTATGCCCTTACATGGTCACTTAAGGCCCTTGTCCTCTTCATCCTCCTCCTCGCTGGGGGAGGGCGGCGGCGGCGCCTTTGGCCGCTCCTTTGGCCGCTGCCGCGGCATCCGCAGGAAGGCGGAAAACTATGCTGGGACGTATCGCATCAGCTTCAGGCCGGCATGGGCACCCATGCGGCAGACATCGGAGTATGGCACTGCATCCATATGCTGACTGCATCCATGCATCCATATGCTGCAGCTGATATTGGCAATTTGAATGTGGATTGAATTTCAAGCTGAACAGGTATCCTTGCGTGCGCAGTGCCCCAAGACATCTCAACTTAAAAGCCATGCCGCGGCTTGGTGTGTTTTGCTGCTTCAGTGGTTAGAGCACCGGCGCTAGCCTCGGCTTGGAGGATGCAGAGACAGACTCAGTGACCAGGTGCATGGCATCTTGAAGGATCTTGAAGGATTACTTGCTGCTTGTCGGTTTTCAACGAGATCCAACGCTAGATCTTGAATCTCTGAATGACAAGAGTGAGAACGAAACCTTGCGAGGCCCTTCGACCAAGGATATTGGTGCTATCTCCTGTCTCAAAGCAACCAGCGTAGCAGGGTATGAAAATCGCACAAACCGATTTTTTTGGCGCTGTGTGCACGTGTGTTTGTATGCCCCCAGGGTCCTTGTCAAGGCCCACCCCCCCCTCCCAAATCTTGCTTCGAACTACTACGATCTGGCGCCAGTCTGGCGCTCCTGGAAAAGGCTGTGCCCATGTGGGACGTCTTGGGGTTCTCTGCAGGACTCGTTGTGGCTGAACATTTCAGGCCTTTATCCAGGCCAAGGAGAAGGAGAATAGAGGAGACCTGGCTTGGAGCAAAGAGGAGAATAGCCGAGTTCAGCTCTCAGTCCCAGACAATCCCATGCCTTTTGGTGTGTTTTCCCGAACACGGAGATAAGGGAACCCTGCAAAACCTCTCCCCCTCGTTCCCTGCGTAGCGCGAGCTGGCTTTTGTCCTTTGTCTGCCGGCCATCACTAGAGCTCCTGCTCGGGGACTCCTCGGCTGCTTCCACATGAAGACTCCAAAGGGTTTAGGGGTTTGGGGGTTTAGGGTTTAGGGGTTTCGGGTTTTGGGGTTTAGGGCTTCCGCGGTTTACTCTGGAAACTCTTAGGGTTTACAAGGGTGGAGGGTTTAAGGCTTTAACTCCACTGACTTGGGGACCCTGGCAAGGCAGCCAAGCAGCCTTTGTCAAAGCTCTTGCTCCGGGATTGGAAGTCAAGGAAAACGGCCTGGACTTCTTCTGGAGTCCTGAGAGACTTATAGTCTGCAGGGCGACATGGACAAGCAAATGCGAACGACGATGGCCCACGCCTGAACATAACTAGCAAGGCAAGCCGCGCCAGTCCATCGTCTGCTTCGAAATCCAGGGGTGCATATGCCGGCTCGGCAGTTGCACCTCTCCTCCAAAGGCCACACTTGGGGGCTTCCGAAAATAGGGGTACCTTCTTGGGGTCCTCTTTATAAGGGGATCCTACTATTTGGGGATCTATCGGGTCCCCCATTTTCGTAAACCCCCCAATCGAGATCCTGTCTGTCAGGTTCAGAGCGTGGTGGTACACGTCGTGCCAGTAGCGGAAGGCAGCCTGGGGGAAGCAAGTTGCATTTTTCGGCATATAGAGAGAGCATAGAGCATCCCTCTCCCCTCTCTCCCCGAATCTACCTCCCCCCCCCCAACCCCTTGACTAAACCCTAAACCCTAAACCCGAAACCCGAAAACCCAAACCCTACCCTAAACCCGAAACCCGAAACCCGAAACCCAAAACCCAAAACCCGAAACCCAAAACCCCCCTCCCCCCCAAATCTCCCCTCTTCCCCCCCCGCCCTTACATCCCACAGAGCTCAGCGCCTTGTAGCAACGAGGCGAATCGATCCGCCCAGGCGAGTCCCGGTCCTGGCATGTGTGCACGCATCCGGCCAGGTTGGGGGCCACACTCGCTGCATTTGTTTCTATCTTCTTGCTATTATTGTTATTGTTATTATTGTTTTTGTTCTTATTGTTTGATTCTTATGGTTATTGTTATTATTCTTTATCACCGTTTGCTCTCTGCTCGGGTGGTGATGGCCCGGTGCCGATCCTTTGCCAGGGTCTCAAAATTCAGCCAGTTGTTGGCAAAGTGAATGATGCGGGCCTGCAGCACTCGAGTACCAGGAGATGCTTCAATCATATCATCTGCACATGTTGACCTTCATGGAAAGCTGCGCATGCTGCGCCTTGTCAACCCTCTTCCGCTCACCGGGCAGGTCGCAACGCTCTTTGGCCCGGTACGAGACGACGAGGTTGTACTCGGTAGACATCAGCCACTTGGCAGGGTTCTGGCGCGATGACTTTCGCATGTCCTGAAGAGGCCGCCAAGGCATGGGTTTGGGGTTTAGGGTTTAGGGTTTAGGGTTTAGGGTTTAGGGTTTAATGTTGACTTCACATTAGTGATTCCCGCCGCAATTGTAAAATCCAGCTGCCGGAACACAATATTGTAACCCGCCACAATTGTAAAATCCGACCCGGGAAATCCGTTTTTTACGGGCGTGGTGCTACTACCTAATACTAAAACTAATAGTACGTCCTACCAGGATTTAGGCGAACATTATTGAGGAGGCCCTGGCCGGAGAGATTGATCAATGAAGGGGGGGGGGGGGTTTATTAATGCGAAGTCAACATTAGGGTTTAGGGTCTAGGGTTTTGGGCCACATGGGGTAATCGTGTCCACCCTTACGTCCCTTGACGCCTCCAAGAAATTGATCTTCTGAGACTCGGCCAGGCGCCTTACCGTGCAGACGTTGAAATGTCTGTGTTCTGCTTCTGTTAAGTAGCATTAGCATATACTCTTTGAAGTATGTATATATATATATATGCAGAAATAAGTAAATCAATCAATAAATAAGTAAATACAAATAAATAAACAAATAAATATGGAGAGAGTCTGCCCCTTAAGAAGGAAAGCATGAACATGTAGTATACAGTATGCAGTATACTTCATACCACAGAATTCCGAAGGCTAAATTGTTTGTGAGAAGTTTAAGATTTAGCGCTATATCGGTTAGGTTGCACATCGCAGATTGTACACGATATATACATTGTCGGTTATGTAGTATATATAGATAGATAGAGTATATGTATATGTGTATATATATATATAGCATATGTATATTCTACGGTATATTGTATATTAAGTACGGTCTGACTACTTGTACTTGAGGGGAGCGGGAGCCAAGGGGCCCATGTTTTGCATTAGATCTCCCTCAGCTCTAGACCCTCATTTCAAACCCTAGACCCAAGCCTGTCTGGCCACAAATGCTCGATGTTACGTTCTTTATGGGAGGGGGGGCCTCAACTAAGCTTGTCGATCGTTTCCCAAGGCTCGTCACTCAAGCCTCCCGAGCCAACAGGGGCTGCAACTTCAACTCCACAAACGAATCCTGGAGCCTAAGCCGAGGGCCTAGGGCTCAGGGTGTACACAGAAAAGAGGCGTTCATTTGCACAGACACAACAATCCAAGTGAACACGAGGGCGGGTGCACGCGGGTCCCTGCAACCAGGAGACGTCATATGCTACAGCTAGCTCTCATGATAGTGCCATACTAGAAAATGCATACTTCTTGCAGCCAGCGGCTCCCAGCCACCAACGTCTGGTCACACAGCCCGACCGCATTGGCTTTCCTGAGCCAAGAAGCCAAGGAAGGAACTGGAACTGGCAATGATGTGGCAAGTGAGGCAAGCCCTGAATGCAGATACTGCTCCTCCTGTTGTATCGACGCAGGTCCTCTTCGGTGGCATTCGTCAGCAAATTGACCAAGTCACCGTGGATTGCTGCATCAGGCGCAAGCACAACGACGCCATAGTTAAAGGCATCTGCCAAGTCCTGTGGGAACGCATTCTCTTCTCGCAGAGGCTCTTAAAGCAGAGACGGGAGTCAGGAACACGCAAAAACCGCAACCTTTCAGAGGTCAGTGAGACGAGCTCCTTCGAGGCGCTGACAGGTCTCTGCTTCCTCAGAGAAGAACTTTACAGTCTTCATAACAATGTTCCACGAATCAGGTAGATGCGAAGCAGGAGCACTCGCATTCTCTCTTTCTCACCCTGCTTGGCTGAAGGGGGGAAGGTTCGCCCGTCAGCCCTCACGGAACGAACTGAGAATGCAAGTCGTGCGAGTGGCAGTCAGTGTCAAACCCTGTTAGGAAGCAAGAGGCTACAAAAAAACCGCACCTCGCACGGAGCTCATGTCCCCGCTTCTGAGATGCCCTAGATAGCAGAACATGCTCACTCTCTCAATTTGGGAGCTTCCGAAAATAGGGGCACCCTTTTTTGGGGGTCCTTTTAAGGGGATTCTGGATAAAAGGGGTTACCCCTTATTTCGGGGAAATATCCATTTCGTCTCAGCTCAGCTGCAGGAGGCCACTTAGATCTCCTTTGACTAGCACGTCGCCGTCCAGCAGGAGTACTTTCCTTGACTCAGCGTCACATGCAAACATTTTTCCTGCAGCTTCTGCTGTCACACAACCGGTGGCTCACCTCAGAACCACTCAGAAACTGCGTAGCTTTCGGAGTTCAGGCAGCCCGAGCACACGGCTGCTTTCGCATAGTATGTACAGTGACAGCACTGATTAAGAAATCATTGGATTAAGAAACGAGCATGCTCGCGGCTGGATCCCGGATTAAGAATGCGAAAATTGAGAGCAAGACTAAATTAAGAAACCGAGGGTACCCTCATCCTGGGCCCTAAATTTCTTAAATTTGGTTGTTTTTGGCAACCGCCGAATGAAAAGTCTCCCCCCCTCAAATAAGAAACTCAGCCCCTCGATTTCGTAAATTTAAGAAATCCGCCCGAGGGGCTGGATTTCTTAAATTTAAGAAATCGAGGGGCTGGATTTCTTAAATTTAAGAAATCGAGGGGCTGGATTTCTTAAATTTTAAGAAATCGAGGGGCTGGATTTCTTAAATTTAAGAAATCGAGGGGCTGGATTTCTTGTTTCGGGGGGGGGGGGGGGGTGGGGGAATTTCTTATTTTAGGCCAAATTCAGGCTGGATTTCTTAATTTGAGGGGGGGGGGGGGAGGGGGAATTGGGCTGGACCCCAAATTTAAGAAATCGAGGGTCTGGATTTCTTAAATTTAAGAAATTGAGGGGCTGGTTCTTCAATTGCCGATTTGAGGGGAGCCCCCAATAAAGAACTTGGGCGATCAGCCTAATGGGTAAGGCGTCGCCTTACTAATTGACACGTTGCCAGTTCGAATCCCATTAAGAAATTCGTTAAGAAACCGAGGGTACCCTCAAAAGTGTGGAGGCTATAATTCCGGAAATTGAGTGGGTTTCATAATTAAGAAACCGAGGGTACCCTCGCCAAAACTTAGAGGTTTCTTATCCAGCGCTGTCACTGTACATCCTTTTCACCAAGTCCGAAGCCCGATGCCTCGAAATCGCCAAGACACTCGTATCCCAGCTGGTCCCAGGCGTGCACCTTGAGAACAACTTCTAGGCTTCTCACCCCTGCTGCATATCCTTTTGGATGCATCCTCTGTGCTTCTTGCACTTTGCATCTTCGGCTTTACCCTGAAGTGCCCTTGTCAGGTTTCTCGCCTTGGCGAACGCCCCGCCGTAGGAGAGAGGCTGCAGCACCTCCAAGAGGCCCTGCCTGGGTTGGGATGTGCCGGGACCAGGGGCCAGTGTCCGCGAACCTCCTTGGGCATCCTTGAGTTGGGTCCCTAAAGTTGATCAGTTTATAGGCCTCCAAGCCAAGAGATGCTAACCCTCCAATTCATCCTAAGCTTCAGGATTCCTGACTGTCCGAGTTTTGGTTAAAGAGAATAAAGAGCTCATGGGAAAAGATTCGGTGCGGGGGGACCTGGGCCTCAGCATCTTCGATAGAATCGGCGATGCACATGGGAACTGCCTTGTGCTGGTCATACTCTTCTGCAGTACGAGTCTTTGCCGCTTGGCTTGAGAAGGGCGTGGCACCTATTGGAATCTACACACATCCCCGAAATCCTAACCCTCAACCCTGAACCCTAAACCCCGAAGCCCTGAACCCTGAACCCTGAACCCTAAACCCCGAAGCCCTGAACCCTGAACCCTGAACCCTGAACCCTAAACCAACCCGATCCCAGCGGCTTCTCCAGATCCCGGCGCTCAGAGACCATCGCTTTGAGCAAGGAGGTGCTTGGTGGCACCAAGGGAACCTCCACCACCTTGGGGCTTGATAGGGTTTAGGGTTTAGGGTTTAGGGCTTTAGGGCTTAGTGGGAGTAGGTGCAGGCATAGGGTTCATGGGGTTTAGGGTTTCGGGTTTGTTACCCTAAACCCCAAACCCCAAACCGTAAACCCTCCCAGCCTTGATACCCAGAGCGACAAAGCGGCGCCGCCAGCTGTCGCTGAGACGAGACTTCGTGGGGACCATGAGGATTCGGTCCACACCTGTTCCTGCAGGGCGAATCCCTGCTGCTTCGGATTGCCGTTCTGAATCACGTTCTTGAACGCTTTTGTATTTGTTCCACAAACTGCCAAATGACACATGCAGACTCCAAGTATGACTTGCTGCGACACCTGCGTGGAGCCCGGCAGAATGTAGTGTTACCAAGGCCCCTTTGGCCTGAGCAATGATGCAGTGCGTGTAGAGAAGCGACCACAAGACCCGACTATACCCGCATCTGGGGATCGGGATCCGTCGGCTGCAGTTGGCATCGTCACGGCATTTGAATGTCCCGAGCCATCTTGGTGCCCCTGGCTACTAGGGCTTTAGGACTCATCGGAGTTTGTCAGTTGCCTACTGCCACTCCATCAAACGAGCACCCGAGCGCCCTCGGTACGGTCAATCACAATTTTCAACTTGGCTTGTTTTTACAACAGCCCGCCACCCCTTCCCCCCACCCACCCCCCCCCCCCCCCCCCAAAGAAAAAATCAAGACACTGAGGGGCTGAATTTCTTCTTTCAGGGTGTACCCTCATCAACCATTCGACGTTTCGTATCCACTGCTGTCACTGTACTGAGCCCTTATAAGGGCGGAGCAGCTCTGCCCTGCTGCAACGCCCTTCCTGAAACCAGCAGAGCAGCCTTGAAGCCGCCCACAACAGCCAACCCGAAGCAGCAAACTGTGCGGATCCGTTGACCTATTCTGGTGGATATTGGCTGAGTGGATATTGGGTGAGCGTCCATGCTTTGGACGATTCTTAGTGGGAGCTTCGTCGCACTTTGCTAGCAGCGTTTGCTGCAAAAACATGGTGAGATCAAGAGGATATCTCGGTCCCTGGCATAGTAGTCGTTCGTGGCCAGTGAGATGACTGCGACTCGCTCTAGGGCGACTCCTCCCGGCCAAGCTGCGTGCCCATCCTAGGTGGAACCTATCCGCTCGGTAAGTCCTGGCAGGAAACAGCACAGTACCACAGCGAACGTCTTGCCCTGCACCATGGCAGGGCATGCTGTCAAGCATAGGCCGGGTGGAAGAGTCAGCACTACACCCACCAGAAACCTAGACTAACCGAAGTTGCACTTGTTCCGATGACCGTCGCGAGTGCATCGCTGTATCGCAAGTGAATCCCTGTCGCTGCTGCTATCACGGCAGGCTTTCTTGAGTGCCAATATGGCCGTGTTGACGGATGACCAATAACCAATGGTCCCTCAACGGCTGGGATGAATCTGACATCCTGAACACCAGCACGAGCAGGCGCAGTACCAAGTCAGCCAGGAGCAGCGGCGGCAGCAGCAGCACATAGCAGCAGGTTGCCGGGTAATGTTGTGCTCGGCTGAGGATCTGCACCCCCGGGCCCCCATCAAAAACAAAGAATTTCGCACTGTTGGACGCCCTCAAGAATCAGAAATGGGTTGGGGGGCTGGGGGAGGGGTTTACAGGTTGAGGGGATGGGAGGTTGAGGTGTCGAGAGTTGAGGAGCTTAGCCTTTGGGGAGTTGAGGGGTTGAGAGGTTGAGGCTGTGCTCAAGAACTCCGCATTATTCCGGTTAACCTTCTCGATAGGGGGGCACTGAATGAAATTTCCAAAATAAAGTTACTAAATCGGGCTCAGCGCTTTCTCACACTTATGTAACTCACGCTCTTTTCCTTGGTGCCTTCTCGCAGCACTGTGGTCGCTTACGAGGACTGTACCGAGGAAGCGGGCACGGCTGCTTAGCGCCTGGAGCGTCAAGCGCTTGAGGGTTTCGACGGCACCCATTACTTGGCACTGATGAAGTCGATCTGCTTTGGGGTCTCACACTCTCGCGCATCAGGGCTTGTTCGGCGGTTCGTGTGTAGTGGCTGTGGCCTCTAAAGTGCAGCGCCCTAAAGCCCTAAGGGTGAGACAATGGAGCGCGGCACTTCGGCCACCCTGTGCGCAGCAGGTGTTTTTTTGGACGGGCGGCCAAGCTCTGGTGATTCCTTGAAGTTGGCACGTCTCAACGTTTCTGCAACAAACCATCGTACGAACACTACGCAGTTATTCTCTAGTCAGCACCTCTGAAGCCATGGCCATGCAAGCGGTGCTGCGTGCCCTACGCTGCGGCTGAGTGATGCTGCGCGGAAGGTTCGCAGGGACGTGCGGTGAGGGCTCAAGTTTGCCAATTGGCACTAGTTTCGTGCTTGTCGGGCTCCGGCGACCTTCCGCTGAATCAGCAGGCGCATCCCTCTTGCGATGCCTTCCGAGACAGCGCCGAAGGGTTTACGAACCAGGGAGCTTGGCGTCATCATCATTTCTATACTACTATATCACTCCATTGCTATATTGCTAACCTTACTATATTACAGCATTTCTACATGCATATACATATATATATATATACATATACATAGTACCTCTTTCTTATAGTGTTGTATTGTGATATTCGATTGTTGCAGGCTCTATGGCTTCCTGTGGTTTTCAAAGGCTGCTGCTCGAGCCTGACGCTGGTTCTGCGCATCCACTTGGCGCGTGCCCAACGGCTGCGTGCCTGGGCAACCACGTGACCAAAATTCCTGTGATATGGGGGCCTTAATCGTTTAGGGTTTAGGATTTGGGGCCTTAATGAGTAGAACAGGGTTTTGGGGGGGATTATAGTATAATTACAAAGGGACCCTAAGGGAATGCTATTAGCAATTCTTCCGACCCCTTTATTACCCAAGGACCCAGCAGGCAAAAGCTCGAGGACTGTGGATTCATGTGGGTTCGCACTTGAGGATTCAGAGTGGAAACCGAACTTAAATGAGTGCCGTTGCGGAGAAGCAGGTCAACTCTTTGAGTCATATTCTCACCCCCAGACCCAGCCCTGGCAGTTTGTAGCAGTAGAGCAGCTCTGCAGGAGGGATGGCGTGTCCAGGATTTTGAAGACCACCTCTTCGAAGGCTGTCTTGATCCCTTGCCTGCGACCGAACTCCAGAGCTCGCGACATGCTAAGAACACGGCTCATGCTTGACAAGCCCGGCGGCTGTGCCGAGACGCCAGTGACTTCACTGACACTACACAGCTTCGCCGAAAGTGGCGGCAGTCAACTGCGAAGATGCATCATTGTGGTCCCTGGTAGAAGATGGTGCATAGTAATGTCAGTAACTACTGTCCGTCACTTAGTTTAAAGCTCCGAACGTTGAAGAAACAAATCTGCTCAATTGCATGTTTTTCCGCCGGGTGCGAGTAGCGCTGGCAGCTGCTGCGTAGTCAGTGCATGTCAGAGGGTGGCCTGGAGTCCAGGAGTGCTCAACACGGCCAAGCAGAAGTTCTGCTTTCCTGCAGCCTCTTCCCCTCCTGTTTTTCTAGAAGTGTGCTCGTTGCGGAGGATGCGAAGGTGTTGACCATGTGGACCATGCGTTGCGCTCGTACGAGTTCTCCCCCGTTTGCTGCGCCAGTGCTGCAGCACTGCTGCCAGCCGAGGGCATCAGCGTGCTTCTGAGTGTACTTGATCGCCACTTACACAAGCTTGGTATCAAAGATGAGCTGGGCGCCGCTGATTAAGCCGTGGTCGTCAAGCAAGACTTTCACCACACCTGCGGCCACTGGCTCCCAGATGCGCAGAACTAAGGAACTATGTAATATACACGCAACATCATGCTGCTACAGCACCACGTTGGCGAAGAGCAATCATAAACGCGCGCTTTTGTTCAGGGACCTGTGGGTTCCTCTCCGCCCTGCCCAAAACATCCCAAAACTTCGCAGAGGCGCCGCAGTTCTGCAGCTTCTTCGCTCGCAGCTGGGACAATAGCTGTGGCATCTCCTCAGCTCTCTTTCTCTCTTTCTGGGGGGGGCAACTGAAGGTCAAGGATGTGCAGCAAGAATGTGTGGCAGGCTGGACCAGTGGCTCATGACACATCGTGGAAGGCCCTTCTTCTGAGGTTGGATCTGCCTCCATCTGTGGTGATGCAAAGTCTTTGAAGAGGCGCTGGATCAGCAGGCTGTGACATACCAATATGCTCGCCGAGGAAAGGTCGTCGGCCTCAGGTGTGCATCTCCAGCGTGCGGTGGGGGCCCTTGGGCTTTGCGAATGAAAATCACTTGCTGCCCAGCTGCAGGGCGAAGCTTGTTCAGAAGGCTTCCGAGCCTGCCAGATCTCACAGACACATGGTGAACCTCAATGATTCGGCCATGTGGAGTCGGTCTGCCTCTGCTGCATCTGACTGCGGGACTCACGAAATCGATTCCACCAAACATCGTTGGCGGCAGAGGCGTCGATCATCTTCGCGGCCAATTCCTCTGGATCCATGTCTAAACCTAGTGCGGCAGACAGCCTCAACCAAATGCTGCCCCACATAGGTCGGAATGTGACTGCTGCATCCAAGACTCTGCTGTCGATGCGTTGCAGTAGCTGGACTCCACCTGCGGGTGTCGCACAGGTCATGCTGCCAAGGAAGGTCGCCATTTGCTGACGCTGCATGTTTGCAAGGAGCCAGGGCAACCCAGTATTCTACAGTATGGGCATCTCCCAAAATAGGGGTACCACTTCTATACCGCAATAGAATAGGATCCCCTTAAAGGGACCCCCCAAAAAGGGTACCCCGATTTTCGTAAACTCCAGGTATGTTAGGTGCAATCCGCCTCCAGCTTCCTACCATCCTGCCGGCCTTGCATAGTCCTTGAATTGCTCTTTCAGGAATGCCCTCTCCAACTGCAGCACCGATCGAGTCTGGTCCACACCATGGGTAGGCCAGCTCACGTGCGTCCGGCAGCAGCGTCATCTTCCTGCGTCAAGCTCACTTTGCCTACTTTCGTTGGATGAACGAAAGCCATTGAGCCAGCATCACAGTGAGCTTGCTTGGGGCTCATCCACGGATTGGCATGTTTCTGTAGCAGGGCTTCTTGGGACATGCCGTGAAACGCAGTTATTTCTGATTGCAGTCTGTCTGTCTGGTCTGGTCGGACAGTGACAATGACTGGGAATTCAGAAGCGGAACAGTGCAGCAAGTTCACAACTTCCCTTTCCAGAGCGGTGCGAGAAAGTGCAAGCAAGCCCTGCTGAACTTGCGGGTGGAGGAAACAACGCAAACACATGGCTTTTGGATGATTGAATGGGTGAAGCATGTCAGCTGATTTGCTGCCCGTTGCTTGTCCTGTATCTCCTCTTGTGCAGCCCTCACACACTCTCATATTTGCTCAGTCCTCACCAAATTTTGGCTTCGCTGCCCATCTCAGCTACGAGTTCGTTCGTGGTAGTCGTTTTGTACACGTAGAGGCAGGTGCTCCAAAGATCGTGTGGGCAGCTTCCGCATGTTCCCTGCCTCTCCCTGAAGTGGAGGACTGATGATGACCGACACATAGTTTGCAAAGAGGAAGCACAAAGACCCACATGTACACACACACACACACACACCCACCCACCCACCCACCCACCCACCCACCCACCCACCCACGCACGCACGCACGCACGCACGCCCCGCACGCCCACGCGCACGCGCACATGCACACGCGCATGTGGCTAACAGAACTTGGACTGCAACATACCTGCGGATGAAACACTCTTTTTCTCAGCAAAGATCCATTCTTGGTGTTGCCAGCTGTCTTGCTTGCCTGTCTGGTGAATCTAGAGGGGCAAGGCACGCACGTCATGTCAACGCCTGTAACGTGTGCAGTCCTCTCCAGCCCCAATGCCACGATGCTGGTTGCCACCGCCCGTGAGAGAGGGGACGCAAAGACCCGTGTCGCAGGGGACAGGAACTGCTCCTCCAGTAACCGCGCTAACCCTGCGGAGCTCAAGGGGCTCATCCGCAACTGCCTTTGGTAAACCGAACATCTCAGGCTGCGACCGCCTCAACGTCTCCCCGACTGAGGGCTGCCTCGCTTGAGGTCCGCAGCCGAGAGGCCTGGAAGGGGGAGCTCGAGGTCCGATCTCGGGTTTGAGGTTAGCCAAACCTAACGCAGGGCTTGACGGAGTTTTTGTCCGGAGAAGTAGCATAAGGGGTCGTGTTTCGCTTGGCCTTCTTCCACTTAGGCTCAGCCGAGGATTTGGGTTCTCGAAATCCGGCCTGGCAGGTTTTGCGAGCCTCACTCTGCAGTTCGTATTGAAGTGCTCTATATGCCATATGTTCGATTGGGCCTCTCAGAGGTTGAGAGCTAGGGCCTTTGTTGGAGATTGCAGCTCTTGGCAGCACAAGTGGCAGCACAGGCAAGGAGACTAGGGTTGTTTTTTTTTTTTTTGCTTGGCAGCGTTTTTTGATTCCAGCCAAGCAATGTGATCTGGAGCACTCACTGGCAGACTGCCTGGGCCACGCCCTCCGCAGTCAACGCGTGATCCACCTGATGAACAGTAGAGTTTAGGGTTTAGGGTTTAGGGGAGTTGGGTCAAGAGATTCTACTGTGTCTCACCACCAGCGTTTAGAGCAGCTGGATAGGAGCTGGACATGCTCACTGACGCTGTGAAGGTCTCTGTGCCTGGCTGAACATGGTCCAGAGGTCTAGCCGCTTTGCTGCCAGGTTCCAGGTGGATTGCCCATGGCGGACCAGGAAAATGGGAGCCACTTCTGATTCTGCAGACTTTCCTAAGACACAAAGCGCACCTAAACCCTCAACCCTACCGGACGGTGACTGTGCAAGGGCTACTCGTGATCACCATACTATGTGCTCAGTTGAAGCGTGCGCGCCTCCATAACGCCGGAGACCAACCCTGCGGAACGCATGCAAATCTTGGCAAAGGGCAGGAGGCTTCGTCAAGAAGGACAACAGCACCTCAGAGGAGTTCAGTTTTCTCCAAGTGCTGGGAGTTTCGGAGTGGTTCTGGTGGGTTTGGGCTTTCTGTAAAGGGTTCCAGAGAGGCGCTCCAACACCACAACTTTTGCTCATCTGGCGCCAGGCAGCTGTGGCCATGACACCCAATGCTCGTCGAGCCAACATCAAGGAAGCGGCCGCTCCGCGCTTACAAACGCTTACTTGCTGTGGCTTCCAAGATCTTACGCCAGTTCGTGCACTTAAAGTGTTTCAAGGCATGGACGGACCTACGTGTGTACTTCAGCGACCATGCGCACTTTCACAGAAGTCTCTCCCTCCACAAGTCACAGCAGCAGCCAGAAGGTTTCGCATGCACCCAGCTCAAGGAATAGTGCCACATGACGGCAACTCAATGACCGGACAAGGGATGCAAGTCCATGGCTTAGGCTTCTAAAAGGCTGCCATGGCCTGGTTTTTGCACTGGTCTCAATGAACATCATTGAGTTGGCAAAGGCAAACTCCTGAACACAACTCATTTCAACTCATGACGAAAAACGTCCGGAAGCTGCTGGCGGCAAGACGCGAAGGACACTCGAACCAGGCTCTACCAATTGCGGCAGAAGGCGGCTCCTCGCCCTCCGTTCGGGTTACCTGCTGGTCAGCCAGGTCGACCTTCAAAAACTGGCAGAGTTGAACGCTTCCCCAACCCAAGTTGATCCAAGGTGACCCACGCCCCAGCCTTATTGGAGACGAGCATCAAGATGGCATCCTGGTTGGTGGAGTACCTTGGGTTGATTTGGCTTCATGGGGCATGTTCGCCCGGGTCCTCTTGAGTCTTCCTTTTGCCGCGACACTTCCTGACCTCATCCTGCCAGAACTTCACATGCTCGAAGCTGCTCCGCTGGGTGCAGTCATAGCCTGGGGCAGCATACAATCGTCTCACTGACTCGTCTCCTGGGTGTTCTTGGGTTGCGTGACATAGGGAACATTCCATGCGCCAAAACAAAGCGCTGCTGCTAGGCGGCAGAGGATTATTCCCTGCGCTCCGCGATAGTACCTTGCAAGTCATCTTTTGAGTGAGGCATCATCTTCAAGATGCTCAGACCGTACAGTAGTGGGGGTTCATTGTGGAATCCTGTTGATGTTCCTGATGCTTCCACGGCAGCGCACGAAGAGGTGAGGGTTCGGAATCGCTCCTGGCCGGCAGTGTCCTGAGCTGAGCACCATGGTGGGCCTACGTGAAAGTCGAAGCCTTCTACTGCTCACTGCCCTGGGCTCGCGACCCAAAGTGCAAGCTTGAGCTTCTTGCCCCGGACTTGCATGAACTTGGTCTTAAAGTCCACGCCTGAGGACGACCAGTGAACCACCCGGCGACAGTCATGGCAGCCAAGAGCCAACTATGGCGCCGGCCAATGGTGGAAGCCTGCTTCTCATTGAACTCATCGTCGCCTCATGCAGTCGAAGGACAGCGATGATATGCGAACACCGGCGGGGCAATGCGGAGCTAACTTTTGAGCAGCCGAGGTACAAAAGCGAAGCAGGATGGAAGACTTCCCGACTCCCGAGTCACCGATGATGAGCAGCTTGAACAGGTGGTCGTGGGTGGACTCCGCCATCGGGGCTGAGGCGTCCCACCCCAGCTGGAACAAACGAACGCTGAGCCAACAGTGGCCAAGTTGCAAGGCACGCGGGCATAAGACACCTCACCGCAAGCACGGCGCAAACCGAAACAATGAAAACAAAATGAGATTGAGGCACGGTCTCAAATTTTATCAAGCCCCTAGTAGTGGCTCTAGTATTGTTGGAGCCCGCCTACTACTCCTCCTGCTACTACGACGACGACGACGGCTACTGCTTCTACTACTACTACTACTACCACTACTACTACTACAACTACTACTACTACTACTACTACTACTACTACTGCTACTACTGCTACTACTGCTACTGCTACTACTGCTACTACTGCTACTGCTACTGCTACTGCTGCTACTACTACTACTACTACTACTACTACTACTACTACTACTACGACTACTACGACTACTACGACTCTACGACTACTACGACTACTACGACTACTACGACTACTACGACTACTACGACTACTACGACTACTACGACTACTACGACTACTACGACTACTACGACTACGACTACTACGACTACGACGACTGCTACTACTACTACTACTACTACTCCTACTACTACTAATGCTTCTAGTATTTCTAGTACTACTGGTACTAGTACTACTACCCATTCTTCCGTATTTGATGCTGCGTTATTCTTGGTGAGTATCGGCAGTGTTTCGTGTCATGGGGTCTATAGTACTAGTAGTACGAGTACTAGTACGAGTACGAGCACTAGTGCGCGCAGGGGCATAGGATTGCCCACAGGTGGAACACTTGACCTTAGAGAAACCTAAGCTTGAAGGACGTCGAGGGAAACCGGCTCTGTTGCCACTGTCACTACGGGGGGTTAATTGCTGAAAACAACAGAAACAATTCCAAGTATTCAAATCCGAATAGGGCATTTGCGAGTTCTTGTCAGAACATGCGCACGGGGCATCTTCCGTGTGGAGCGGGCTCCAGATTGTCATGACAGGCTTCATAGTGTCACTTGTTAGTTCAGCAAGGTGCCGTTTGGTGATGAATGGAATGCAAATTGGTCAAGCGCAAGCTTGTGATCACCACAAGTTCATAAATAAGGCCTACGAATCACCATGACTGCCACCATCACTAGTACTTCGTAATTATGACCAGTACGGCATGACCACGCGCTGCAGGCACCATTCTACAAGGAGGAGCACTGCGACACGACATGGATGTCCTGAGCATCGTTGGGTTCGTTGCATCTCTGGCATTCTTTCGCTTCTGTTGTGCTTCTGGCGGCTTGCCATCCCCAGTAGCCTTCAGCTGCTGTGGGTCTAGCATGACACATCCGATCCTCTGGCTGCTCCTCTGTGCACTGTACAACTGCGCTACGAGTTTGTCCTGCAGGGGAGCGCGAGAAGAACATTGAAGCTTCTCAACTATGAGAGGTTCTCTCCTACTCTGCGGCCAACTGCTTGGCATCCTGATAAACGGCCTCAAGGCGCGGGCAGCCCATAACGCAGCGATCATCACCCAGATACATTGTGGATTTTTCGACCTCCCACCCATCGGGCGTGTGGATTTTTGCAAATATCTCCTCCATCTCTGTGCCTTCCTTGCTGAGACTCGGCAGCTTGGCGCCATGGCTACAGAAACCGGCTCTTAGCAGGGCTTCTGCTTCCTCCCAGCTCGAGGACACTTTGGTAGCCAAGTGCCTGTAGATGGGATACTCGCAATAATCCCGTGATGCCACCACAAAGTCGAGGTCAGTGCTTACGTAAGCCAGGGTCAGCTCCGCAGCGCCATCCCCTCCGGGCAGGTCAAACTCCCCGTGCAAATGGAAGATCCCCAATGGGATCTTCGGCTGCGGCCGATGGAAACAGAAGGAGGTCCAACGGTTGTTGGGCTTTTCATTGTTCTGGGTGTGCTTGGACACTTCCCAGTTTTCAAGGCCCATGGCCCTGAGAGCTGGTGACTCCTCGCCGACGATCTTCAAAGTCCCGGCAAAAAGTTCTGGCAGCCGCTCGGACATCTTCTTGGGAAAGGCAAGAACTCGCGTCATCAACTCTAAACTCTCATCGCCCTTCATGGCCTGAAAGGTCTCCGACAAGCTGCGTACCACAAGCTTCGTCGTGTGCTCGTCTTGCTCTGGCGGCACACCTGTGCGAATCTCAATTGTGTCCCCGAATGTCTGGTAGAGTATCCTGCGGCTCTTCATGTCTTCTCTGGCCCACAAGAAGCAGTTGAACAGATCCTCATCTCGTGCAAGGAGCTGTCCCAAAGCGACCCTCTGCAGTTGCTCAAGGATCCAAAAACCCTCACCCGCCTGGAGGCACCGAGGCCACAGCTGATTGAGGCTCCGACAGCTGCGCAGAGCCCTCAAAGCTGCAGGGCCGCTGAGGTGTTCTCGGAGGATACGCGGCAACCACACGGAAGCACAGTTCTCCATGGGTCAAATGCAGCTGCGGATGGGACCCAGTCGAGCCAACAGCAGAACTATGCAACAAGGGTAAGATGCAGACTTGCCAGAGCTCCGATCCACACCATTCCTCTCCTGCACAGCTGACCGCGACTGGAGCTCAGTAATAAACAAGCCTATTTCCCCCGCCCCCCCCCCCCGGCCCCGGCACCACTCAGCGAGATAGGAGGACATGACAGGAGACAGGACAGGAAAGAGGACAGGCAAGAGGACAGATACGAGGAGAGATAACAAGACAGGAAACAGGACCGACAGGAGGACAGATGGCGGCCGTACCAGTACAGCGGCCAGCGGGCCTCTCAGTTAGGTAATTGCAGCAGGCCTCTCTGGTATGTGATTGCACCATCTAGCGGCCAGCAGGCCTTTCAGGTAGGCGATGCCATAGCGGCCAGCAGATTGAAGCAGCAAAACAGGGTATGGCCCTTCTTTTTAAAACTTTACAAATCTGTCCACTCCCAACGTAAGACCCATTCATAGTATTGGCAAGCTGTTTGGGGAAATAAGCGTTTATACACATCCACTGCTCAAGGCTTGTTGCTTTGACGTGGTCTTGGTTGTCGTGCTCGTGGTCGTCATGGTATGTCATGGTCGTCATGGTGGTCGTGCTCGTCGCGGTCGTCCTCTTCCCCGGTCTGTAAATGGCATCACTGTTTGGGATCTACGTTGGCATAACTTTTTTCGATGCACTCGCAGGCTTGCTGTCTGTGTGTGTGTGCTCTTTCATGTCCTGTCTCCTTTCCTTCTATGTCTCCTCGTATCTGCGGTGCACTCGCCGGCCTGAGACGCCTGAGAGTTCGTTCCTCTGGCTGCTATATGGCGGCTATTTTTTGCGCAGTTGCTGGTTTGAAAGGCTACATGGCTGCTACTTTTCGGTGCAGTCGCCGGCCCGACATGTGTCAGTTTGGGCACCCCGGAACCTGATTCTGTCCTACACTCTCGAAAGACCCCCGAGATGGCCGCGATGACCACGAGCCACGAAGACCGCCGTGAGGACCTCAACAACGATGACGACAGGCTAGACACCAGCAAGCGTGCCAGCGCCGACGATGTGCAGAGCCGGCGATGGAAGCAGTAAAAAAGGGTATGCCCATCTTTTGTAAGAGCTTACAATGAGTTCGCCTTCTCAGGTGACCGCGTCCAGCGCAGGACCCTTCAACTAATGCAGTTTTCATCAAAAAATGCGCGCCGCACCGGCAGCGGGAGCTGCAGAACTGCCGGGAGCGCTTCGCGCAGACCTACGGTTTAATTTTTTGGGTTTAGGGTTTCGGGTTCGGCCCGGCAGTGAATAAAAAATTGGCTTGTTTTACGTCTGCAATACCACACAGTGGGTTGTTTGAGATAGTCGAGAAAGAAAGAGAACGGAGAGGAACAAAACTAAAATGGAGATAGGTTAAGTCCAGTTTAAATTTGTGTTTTTCGTTTTCTGTGCTTCTTCAACGTAATTTTGATTATTCCACTTTGCTCTTTTCAAGTAGAATAACTACACGTCCATCATGTATCACGTGGGCTGTCCAACAGATCACGAGCTCATGGCTATATAAGAGGGTCTGAGGCCTAGGGCCACGGCAGAGGGCACTCTTTTCAACGCAGAGAGCACACAGACACACGCAAGAGAAGCCTTTCAGCACTTGGCGCGTCTTTTCCACTTTTCCCTGGCCGTGAAAGTTTTTCGGCGAAGGCCGGTCTCCTGCGGTTTTGTGTTTTTATTTTTTTTTTTGGGGGGGGGGGGCGAGTTAATCCGAGTTAGGGTTTGGGGTCTAGGATGGTTTAGGCGAATGTGGCTTCGTGTATTTGCGGCACCGATTTTAAGGGGACAGCTATACCTTTGGAGAAGACCGAGTCAATACCTCACTGGCCAACGTGGTTAAGGATATGTCCTGTGATCTCGCTTAGCCGCTTCCTCCTGGAACTTCTTGTACTCCTGAACCCTCAGCTCAGGTCTGCAGTCCAGAGCCGGCATCGAGAGGCGAAGCCCTCATACCGCGGTCCCCCTCCCGCACCTGAACAGCATTGAACAACCCCAACTTCTCACTTCTCCATCCCCCCCAACCCCCTTCATCCAGTCCCCTTTCTCAGGGTTTGAAGCCCCGTATCATGTCCTGGGTCTTTGCCGGGGCTCAAATAGACCTTGTGAAAGGCCAAGAACAGGCTAGGATGGGGGCAGGCCGGACTTGTTGGTGTATAGCTTTGCCCTAGCTTCGAATTCTTCTTATCGAGTGTTGGGCACGGCGTGATGAAACTGGGGGAAAGAGCCCAGCAGCCCAATGCGCAGAGCCAGAGGCCTGCCCTTCGTCTGGACTCCAATCTCGGACACGGCAAGGATCAAACTGAAGCCGAGTCTCCATGTGTCTCCCACAACAAAATGCGGCGCGTCCTTCAGCAGCTTGTCATTGAGGAAAGCAATGCCGTAGAGGCGCTGGAGAGAGTCCAAGTTCTGATCACCCAACCTCAGCGACCCCCCTGGAGCGACCCTAGCAGTACGTATCAGTACGATCCTTCGGCTTAGTGGGATGGTCTGGGCTTTGGCATCCACCTCATCTCGCTGATTCGTTCTGTATGCCACTTGTTTTTGTTTGCCTCAAGTCTCGCCACGCTTGCTTCCACGCTCGATGCCACGCTGGTGGTGGTCGGAGACTGCGAAGCTGCTATGTAGCAGCTTTTATAACATGCGTGCCACGGAAAAGGGATCCGGGCGCTATCAAACATCTGGAACTTAACCTATTCACAAATGCAGGAAGAGGTTCATAGAACCTCCACCTGATTGAACGGAGGCAGCGATTGCCTCTAACCTAAGGTGCTAGTCTGGCTAGTTCACCAAGTCCTATAGATCCTAGTGGATTCTCCAGGAAATCTAACAATCTCTAAGCATGCAAATAGGTCTGGCCGTTTCAGGGCCCTTGTCTTCAAAAATGTACAGCCCACTACTGAGCTCCGTCTCTTGATTCTCCTTACGGGCCGCTGCGGTCTTGGGCATTGGCACCGGCTGCCTGCAAATGGAGATGGTCGCTAGCGCAAGGCGATGCACCTGCGCGAATCTTGATGCTGGTTCGGGCACTGTCAGCACGGGACGCAGGCAAGGCCTGTGCCATTCTGGACTGGCCCGGACAAGATGCCATCCACAACGGCGACGCAGAGCTATTTGTGCTGGGATTCTCGCCTGCGGTTGCCAAGTGATGGACAATGTCCACATAGCCATGCCAATCCGCTATCCACGAAGGTGAATTGGCTGTTGCATCTGCAGCGTGAACGTGGGCACGTGCATCGATGAGGCAGTGCACTACATCCCAGCGTCCATTTCGGCATGCCGCCCAAAGTGGATGATCTTCTCCAGTTGCCTCGGCACCTGTTCTAGCACCAGCCTGCAGCAACAAGCGCACAACATCAGTGTGCCCAATTTGAGCAGCGTGCCACAAGAGCGACTTGTCATGGTTGTCCTTTGCTTCTACGTCGCCACGAGCCCCAAGCAGTAGCTGGATGGAGTCTGTTTGTCCAAGCTTGGTTGCGATATGTAGAGCTTGCCTGATGGCAATGCTGGGAGATTCCACCGGTTGCAACAACTGCTCAGTGCTTTGAAGTGCTGTTGGCTTGAGCCTGGCATCCAGTAGCTCGCGCACCACCCCAAGGTGGCCTCTCCTGCATGCGGTGCAAAGCGGGTACTCCCCTCCGTTGCTTGCTGCATCATTCTTGGCACCAGCCGCAAGCAACTCACGGGTGATTTCGACATTGCCCATTGTAGCAGCATGCGACAAGGCTGACTTTCCGTCTTCATCAAGTGACTGCAAGTTGGCGCCAGCTTCAAGCAATAGCTGAAGGCACGCCAGGCTTCCAAATGTCGTTGCGATGTGTAAAGCCTTGCTGTGTCCAGGAGTTAAACTCAAATCTGGGTCAATACGCTTATGTAGCAGGCGTTGCATCTCAATATGATTGTTGCGCTCAGCTGCCGACTGCATGGCATGCAGGTCTTGAGGAGTGGCAAGGAGAAACGGCACCATCACCAGCTGCAAGGTAACTGGTAGGTCCAGTGTCGAGAGCAAATCAGCATCTTGCAAGATCTGAGATCCGATAGCCAGGTGTTGTCGGAATCTGGAAACGTGGACAGTGCGCGAAAGAAATGTCTTCAGTGCCTTCATGGAATCACCATATACGGCCACAATTTCAGAAATGTCATCACCGTCCAATTCGACAACTACCTCACCACAAAGCTTGTGGATGACCAGCTCTTGCGGCATCTGCAAAGCTATAGCAGCAGCGCGCGTCGGCACCTCCACCTACTAAGGTTTTGCTGAGCATAAGAAGGCGTGGTAGCGGTATGTTGCTGGTACGGGATGCGAAACTGTCCTTATTCATGTCATGCAGCGCACAGCAGCCCTGGATGCAAAGGCAGGCACCAATCGGCTGCTGAGTTCTTCGTCACCCAAAAGGCCTGTGCTCGAGACGATGCACAGTTTGCACTCCGAGATTATGTGGATCCCTCCTTGCTTTCCTCTCCTACTGACCTGCTGTTAAATGACAAGATATGACACCATAGTATAGGGTACTGGGCTTCCATCGCTCCACCCACGCCTTGGCCCGGTTCGAGTCGATCAAATCTCCACAGCGATAGCCTGGCAGGCGAGCTCATAAGCATATTAAGCATGCTGAGCTTAGTCTTCCAGTCGCCAATGGTTCTGCAGTGATTCGGATGTGCGTCGCACTCGGTATCAGCAACTCGGCCGGTTGGACAGCTCGTGAGAGCATTGTCTGGGACTTGCAAGAATGGACAAAGTGAGATTTACAAATTGTTTTCATGCCCGAATGAGAGGTGTCATCCTCTTTGCTTCTTCCCGACATGGAATTCGCAGTAGATCACGCTGCCAGCACTTTCAGCAGTTACGACACCTGGATCCATTCATTGTGTGTTTTCACCCCCCACCGCGGCATCGCGCAAGTGGTTGAATTAAGTACGAAACTGCCGTGCAAAGCTTGCAGCCCGAGCGATCTGAGCGCACCTGGCTGTCAAGTTCGGATCGGTGACGGCGTTGATGCTGCTGTTGATTGTGGTTGGAATCCATATTGATTTGGTCAGTATGTACCTCCCCCCCATGCATCCCACCCCCAAAAAAGACGAAGGTTCCCTTGACACACTCAGTATTGACCCCCCAACTCGCCCCCAGCCCCTTCCGGACCCCCGACGAAAAAAGGGACAAGGCGTCGATACGTGAACGCCAAATGTGCACCTGAACTCTTTTTGTACGATGGATCCGGGTCGAACAAGGTCTGCTGGGCTGCTAGAAGCTCGCATCTCTGATTGTGCGAGCTCCGAATTCGACTTCGGCCTGACTGATCTGATCGAGCAAGAACTCAAGGATGCTGTGGTCGCGACTCGTTGCCAAACTGCCCACCACCCCCAGTCTTCGAGATTGGACCAGAACAGCTCTCTAGAAGTTTGTTGAAGAAGACGTCCTTCCCGTAGCCCTTCGTCAATGCATGATGGGCCGGTTCGTGCAGAATGGCCCATCTCAGTGAGTTTGCGACATCGGGTACTTGACAAATTGAAACAGTACTAAGAAAGAACGACCAGAACGATCACTGATCAAACTGGCTTGCCAGAGCCTTCAGAGTCTTCACGACATCTGAAAGAGCACGCTGTAAGTCTGCCTAGCGGCAGGCGTTGCTGCCGTTTGTCAAACCGAAGCTGCAGCACACGATGGAGACAAAGTATCCATCGGAGGTGCAGCAAGTCATGCCCGGTTCCTGCCGAAGGGGCATGTGGAGCGTGACGTCGGACACCGAGAGAGCCATCGTGCATCTTCCCGGTTGCCCATCCAGCTCCAGCGACTGCTGCACGTAATCGACCGCCAACGCCCCTGCCCACCACATGTCCGCTGTGGTTTCCAACCCCAAAAGTCAGCGCCCAAGGAGATCCAGCCTGCGGGACCCTTTCCATTGAGGCTGTTCCTCATGATGTCCGAGCTGCAACCTGCACGACCGATGGGCCAAGCCACAGCGTCGCTCACGGACCGCGTGTAACCCGTGGATGCAAAGCTACCACCCTGGCCCGCACAGACAAGGTAGCTGTAACCCGAGGGCCCGAGGAGTAGACAGAAATAGGCAAAACAACAAGCAATTGCTTCATTGGTCCCTAAACCCTAAACGCCGCACTCATCCTCAGCACAATTCCTTGAAGATTCCAGCCAGCCAGCCGGAGAGGGACAGAGCGGCAGGAAGCAGAAAGGAGCAGAGCAGAGGGGACGAAACACAAGAGGCAGAAGGAAGACTAAGATGAAGACGAAGGACAATAGCAAGGCGAATAAGCATGCAATCAGGACACAAGACAAAAGGTCGGGGACGACGGAACTGTCTGGGACTACTTCGAGTCAACTGCGTGGGAGGGGAGGGACTTTGCCATGCAGTTTCGCCTCACGCCATGTCTCGTGGCCATTGAAACTGTTGGTGGCGACCGATTCCATGCTGTACCAGGCAGTGCTGATATGACTGAAACAACTGAAACTTTTTCCGGGGCGCAGCCTGTAGGATGTATTGTCGCGCTAAGTTTGTGGGTGCCCCAAAAGCGTCTGCCAAAAAGGATTTCTAACACCCTGGGCTCCGGAACCACTAGAGTCCGCTAGAGCCCTGCCCGAACCCAGGCTCCAAAAAAATCAATCTGAACAAGGCAACCACGAGAAAAGGAAGGGAACCGCAAGCAAGACTGGCGTGACACTTCCTGGCAGGTTGAAACTGACAAGACCGGATTGTGAAGTAGGCGGAAACCAGGAGATTTCAGGAGCATGAGGTTCGCTTAGTTCGCGATTACCACTCGACTTTCGGATGTTTGTTGATTTCTTTACGCCCTACAGCAAAGGGCACTGCCAGCTGTGTTTCGATACTGTATGGTCCTTTTGCCGGTACTCTTAATGAAAAGGCACCCCCAAAACGCAATACAACTTAGAAAAGCCCCTGATATGGCACACAGGCTCCCGGCCTTCAGAAAGTCTGGCTTTGGTCAGAAGCCAGGTTGGTCACCGCCTGCACGAGACTCTTCAGACATTGCGTGCTGGCGGCACTCTGTAGGTGCCTGGCCACCTGTCCGACCTTTGCTGGGTAGAACTTTCTGTCTGTGCTGCGTATCGATTGACTATGGAGAGCGGAGCCCACACTGAAAAACAAGCGGGGGCGGCATCGGGCAGGCAGGCCCAAGGAAAGCAGCAGTGCAAAGGCGTTACGTGACCGAATGCAAAGAGGAAGATAAACGAAGCCTCCACATTTCCATCCACCCTCGACGTGACTCTCCATATGGAGGCCAAGCTGTCCCATCTGACATTTGCATCTGCATCAGTAGGCTGACATTGCGGCGGAGAGGAAGATTGGGATGTTGCAGTTTTGACACCGAAAAGCGGCATGGCACCGACGGGGGCGACCTAAGATGTGGGCGGAGGGGGGGGGGGGAGACAGCCGATCGACATATGCAGCACTACGGTGGAGGGCCCGAAAGGGGGGGGGGGGGTGCCCTCAAGCAGACAAGGGCGAAAGCTCACAAACTTGCGTGACAGGGGAGCTGAAAACTGCCTGGCCATGGCTTGTGCTTGGCCCCATGGTCGACGAGACCTGGGAGATGTCTTGGGAGCTGGGTGTCTGTTTGTATGATATGGTTCTGTATGATCTCATATTATCCGATGCTTTCTTGGTGCGAGATCCTGTGACACGTGCAAAATGTAAGGCTGCGCGCTTATACTATCCGCGAGAAAACAAACCTGTTCAAGTTTGACCTGCGTGTAGTTAGTGATGCAACCGCCTCCGTCAACAGCCCTTGCGATCCCTTGCGATGCCCCGCATGACAGCAATCGATGCATGCCCAGCACATCGGCCTTGCACCGTGTGCCCTCACCAGTTACTTGCTTCAGGAGGCCATGAAGCGTCGTGCAACTCGGCGTGCACTTAGCGCAGCGACCCATTTCTTCTCTGACATTTTCCAGCTGGGGTCAAGCTGAGAGCAGGGAGAGCGGAGGCCTGGAGGTTCGATCGGCTGCATGGTATTAAGAGATATTAAGGCATCGGCTCCAAATATCGTTGCAGCTCTGGTGCCTCTCCGAGTGCCTTTGCGTCGATGCTAGATGCAGGAGGCGAGTGCTTTGATAGGTGGCTCGATGACAAGACAGATTGCAAGACAACATGCTGAAAGACTGTAAGATCACTGAGCACGGGCGATCTCGCTGCCCCCGCAGATCAAGCAAAGTCTGATATACTCCAAGCATGCCGCTGGAGGCCTCAATCGTGTTGTACTTGCGCCCAAGCTCACTGTGAGCGAAGGTGCGGTGCACCTTGCTGTGGCAGGTCCTGCGTAAGCAGCCCAGGGATCATAGACATGTGCATCTTGAATGGTCTTGCCTAAGTTGCAGTTGATGGACTTTGCAAGGTGGTTGCAAGGGGAGTGACCCGTTCCTGCATAGAATCGCCGTCGGCGGCCTCAGCAGCGCGTGAACATCGGATGCGCTTAGAGGGAACTGATAACGGGTTAACGACCTGCAATACCTGTATACGACCGAAACTGCATCAGGCGGCGGCTATAAGGTACCACTATCCTACGCTGTGCCATCAACATCTGTAAGCTTGCTGCTCATCTTTGCCTGAGACCTGCCGGCGCTTCTTCATTCGCCTGGAGCATCTTGACAGAAGGCAGTGGAAGAGGCTCAACTGGGCTCAACTCGTCAAGGACTCTCACGGTTTGTAAATTGATTTCAAAAAAGACAAGGCAAACACATTCGGGCTCCACGCTTCCAGTGCACCTTTGGGATCAAGTGGTGGATGGTCAGGTCGTGATCCAAGCCTTAGAGAGTCTGAGCGTATAAGGCACTTCAGATTCAGGTGAGCAGCTTCAACGAGTGGATCCAGGGTCTGGCTGCAAAGTTCGCAGCAGCCTGCGACCCCGTCGTTGACGTTGAGGTATCTGCCAGTTTTCCTCGCACAAAGAATGCAAACACTTCAACTTACCTTCCACTTTCAACACCCTGCACAATTGACAATGGTTGCCTTGCCTGGCACGGCACAGGATGCTGGAGCTGGAGCCACGCGCTGCGACTGCCAGCCCTGGCCCGTCGACAAGTATTGCAATGAGATAATATGTTCCAATTCTGTGTTTGGCAATCATGGTATTTATGGTCATCTTTCCAGAGGCCCAAGAGTCAGTTGAATCTGTTTTGATCTTTGTTGGGCGTGCACGTATGTGGAACGAAAGTCGCGTTCTCGCCTAGGCCCATCTTGTCCGAAGGTTCTCGACCAGGTCGCTGGAACGCAAGAAAAACATGCATACATCTTTTCTTCTCGACTCACCGCATGTGCCTTCATCGCGTTCTCACATTCTGTGGGCATTCTGTGGTCAAAACCGTGCAGAGCTCGCCTCCGTGCCACTTGCACTTTGGCAGATCGATCTCGGGATTGCGAAAGCGTGGGGCCGACCAAACATGCCATGCTTCAAGCAGAGGCGCGAAAGCTCGTCATCAGCTCATTGTCTGTATGCCCTCTGCAATGGAAGCGCCCTGAACTCTAAACCCTAAACCGTCAATCCCTATGAATCTGCTGGTTGAGGACTCCCTCGAAAACCCCGCTGGACCCGAAACCAGCGCCGCCAGGGCCGGCCCAGGGCGGCGTGGCAGATCCCTGCCAGCTGAGCTGGGAAAGCGGGGGGCGGGGGGGGCTCAGAGGCGCAAAAAATGAATCAAAACAAGGTTAAAAGACAGGGTTTAAGAGGGCTTAATGGGCTTTGGGGCTACATTTCTGCACAAGCAAGTTCTACGATGCAGATCTCAGATGTATGTGTCTGTGTCCAGTTAGTTATCAGTTCTCTGGTTTATCCGAGTGTTTCCGGGCACGACCTTGACACAAGCCTCGGCGTGCCATGAAGCTTGTGTGCGAGTCACACAACGCGATGGTCTCAGCTCTTCATTGCGTGTGCGCGCGCAATAGGTGCAATGGAGGGAAAGACATGCATCATTCGCAAAAGGTGACCATGCCATACACCTGAGAAGGCCGGACAAGCATGGGCAAGCTGTGCGAACTTTTTAAGTGGAGCTGGCGTGAGACGATAAGCTTTCGAGTCGGCAGTCAGTCGTAAGCGGCTATAGACCTCTGGACCCATCATCCGGAGTCCTGCAGCGCGACTGATCTTGTATCCTTGTACATCAAGGCCAGGCTGGCTTAGTCACTCTCAGTCCAAAGCACAAAGTAAACCAAGCAAACCTCTCTCAAAGAACCCTAAACCCTAAACCCCAAACCCTAAACCCTAGGTACCTAGGGACCTCAAACGATGCCAAGTTTGGAGCTGCAGCCTTGAGCTCCGATTGCCTTGAACTGAGGTGACAAGCCATGCACAGCGCTATTAAACAGAACTGGGCAAGGAATCAGTGCACGCATCCCCGGCTGGCAAACTGCTATGTGTAGTTCTGTGTATAGCAGTATAGCTGAGTTTACATTGCTTTCATGTGGTTACATTGTGGGTATTTCGCTATCTTGCACGAAGCCTCGCCCCGCCCACTTGATCAAAGCAGCAGGTGAAGCGGAGTGCGACACTCAGCAAAACTTCTGCAAGCGTCAATGCAGCGCAATGAGGCTTTGTTGCACGCTGCTTGCTGGACGGGCACCTGAGACCTCACTTGGACTTGGGCCTGTCCAGTTGCGCGCTTGAACCTTGAATTGGGCTCATGGCGAGCTGCTGTTCTGCAGCGCAGACGGACTCTCTACTCTCTCCCTTGATCTCCCTTGCGGGTCGCAAGGCAATTGCGTATACCCTGGCCACATCATGTCAGCACCCCTGACCGCAAGATGTATCAAGAATTATGAATTTCAATATGGTTCAATGACAATGCTTCAAGTGTCTGCGCCGCTCAGCTTGTCTGCAAAATCTCTGCCTAAAGCAGAGTTCGAATTAGATGAAGCACGAGTGGCTGGTATCTTCTGCCTTACAAGCAGCCAACACCTGCTCATGAATGAAGCCGTTGGAAGCAAAGAGTGCTGCCACTCCTACTGTCCTTCCAAGAGAGAACTGTAAGGGCTGGCCCGTCAAGTCGGTCACCCGCCCACCCGCCTCTTCCACGATCATGGCGCCAGCTGCGATGTCCCAGATGTACTGCGGCGACTTTGAGACGCGCAGATAAAGGCTCGCCTGTCCTCTGGCCACCACTCCGAACTTGCACTGGCTGTCCATACGAATGGGTGGACCCATCCTAAGGGCGCCGGCAATTTCGGCATGCCGTCCATGGCTAGAATGTGCGGACTCCAATGACTCCACATATGTGGCTGAAGAGGCGTCTGAAGTACCGGACACAGAGATGGGGAACTCCTTGCCCGACTCAATGTTCAATTGGGCCGCTCCTTGCCCCATAACTCCAACGAAAACGCAGCCCTTCTCGCCATCGGGCAAGGTGTAGTCGACTGGAAGGTTGGGGCAGCCCAGAGCTGCCACCAAGACTTTCCCATTTTCGATAAGGCAGAGGCAAACTGCAAATTGCTCTTTCCGTACGAAGCCCTTCGTGCCATCAATCGGATCGAGTACCCAAAACAAACCCTCACCCCCCGGATGATTGCCGCGGTCAAGCGCGCCGATGACCTCCTCCATAGAGATATCCGCCATGAGCTCTTTCACGTGGTCCAACACCTCTGGACAAGCAGTGACGAGATGGGCGCATGTTGAAGAAGATGCAGTCGTGCGTGTGGGGAACGGCAGCCTACAGCAGCCTACCCAAGAAGTCGCCCCTGTTGACCGAAAACCTGAATCCTCAATCACCCTGACAGCTACGGCAGTGGGTGCACATGGCGCACCGCCTCCTTCCTACAGCTGTGCCGGGCGCCTTTTTCGCCAGGGCAGGATCAGCACGCAGAGCTGACGCGTCCTCGTGGCGCGGGTCTGGGGTCTCAGGGATCCATCCCTGGTGCGCTCACATGAAGCACCCATCGCGGGTTCCTGGTCAATACTTACGGTAGGAGTTGCTTGGTGATTAAAGCATCAAGGCCCCGTGACAGAATCCCCACTGCACCAGATTCCTAGTCTGGTACTGGTCCAACCTCTAATGCATCTCCTGGCGAGGGGCTTAAGCCCAATTCCCAAACTGAGGCGTTGCACTCCCACCTCCTCCCCCACCATGGGAATACTCGGGAACGCTTGATGGAGAATGTGCTCGACGAGGGCTTGAGAAGCAAAATCCGCGATGGTGACCTGGTGATTCTTGAACACAAAGCCAGCTTTTTAAGGCAACTTTTGCTTTTGCGGCGAGACGTTCTTGTGAGAGTGCTCTTCAAAGTCGACTAGCAAAACATGACGACGCCAATGTCCCAAGAACCCTCAGGTGTACTCGTTGGGCTGCTCACATCTCTGAAGTTTTCTTCGGGGAGGGGTCGGGGGAGGGGTCGGGGGGCGTCGGGGGGGGGGGAGGGGGCGAGGGAGGCGGGGCGTACATAAGCTGTAGAGCTTCAACCGAGCAGCTGGTGAGAAGTCCGCTTTTTTCAGGATCTCCTCATCCAATATATTCTTCTGGATCTTTGCCGTAAGATGGCAGGCCTGAGCAGCCCGCATGCAGCCCGCAACGGTATGAGAGGGGACTTGACACTCACACACGATCCTACAGTTGCATGCAAACCCGAAGCATCATGAGGCCCACCTTCACAACCACCTCCACCACCACTCGTCGCAGCAGTGCTAAGTCATGTGGATGGGAATCGGCCATGCTTAAAGGAGTTCTCTGCAAAACGTTGCCTAGAGTTGCGACAGTTGTATACTACCATTACTACCAGTCAAGTGTGGACCAATTCCAATCATGTCTGCTTCCTATGCTGCAATGCTCATGGTGCATATCCCGCAACCACGCTGAGGCAGTCCGCAACTACTAAGCGGTCTTCCTCTGGCTGCTACAAGTAGGCTGGCTTTTATCGAGCCGCCGCCACTGACAAGCAAAGCCATGCTTTCACGCGCTTCATGGGGCCGATATACCCTAGCTCCTAAACCCAGGGACTCCAATACATCTTAGTTAAGGAATATGTTTTCCTTAACATATAAAAGGATTCGGATTCCTAATGGTTTAAGGGAACTTCCGAAATTTAGGGGTACTGGAGTCTCTGGGAAGGTTGGGAGCCGGGACCAGCCTTGGCAATGATCGTAGAGGCGGGAGAGGCTGAGCAAAGCAAGCAGCTCGAATGGGCAGCATCACGCCAAGAAACCTTCAGAGCTTCTGGATAGAGAGAGCTCCCTTCTTAAAGGAATGATTAAAGCTCAAACTGATATCGTTAAGCTTCCAGAAGTCTGAAACCTCCAACAGTTTCAAGGCAATGATGGGGAGTTGCCTGGGGAGCCTTTCTACTACAGCAAGCCGAGTATTTCCGCAACCTGAGCTTCAACCCTCGCTCCAGCTCAGAGTTGACAATCAAGCTTTGGCTTTGATCCCAAACATTTTCCGAAAAAACACATATAGAATAATATCTGGTGTCTTAGGGCTATCTACAGAGAGACGTCATAAAGGCAATGGAGAACAATACTCTCACTCCAGAGTGGGAGGGTCGAGCGCACGAATTGCGGCATAGAAATATTTTATTGGGACCTGCCTATGTCTAGCAACGTTAAAGAGGCTCGCTTCCGAAACTCATCCCCTACATAGAACACAAGATGAGGGGCACTCACTTACTGAACGTGATTTATGAACATTTATGGCACCTCCCTAAACATCCGAAATGAAGGGTTAGCGGAGAATGCACTGGACGACACGCGACAACACGCGGACGCAACCGCACTAGTGAAGATGAAGCGAATGTACTGGACGACACGCAACAACCAAGGAGTGCGAAGTACGATGACTCGTGTTCAGGCGTGACTGCCACACCATGCAAGCTCTCTCGTCGACACGTTGCCGGGCCATACCTATGGTAGATCCTCCTACAGTACCTAACGCAAACTCCATCATCTGCACGAACACTGCAGCCAACACACCAGCAACCATGCTGTACAACTCATCCACTTCAGGGTGACAATCTTTAACCAAGCATTATGGTTTTTTGAAGATTCTGAACTGAATCGCTCGTGCAAGACCTTCACCATGTCATTTGGGCAAATCGAATAGCTCCAACAGCCTCCTAATGCAAAACCAGTTCTACAGCCGAGCGCACAAATGCTGCCCTTTGCACAGGTGTGTTGGCTAATTCAAAGGATTCAGGGACGCGAGGACGTAGCTTTGCAAGTTGTGGCTTCGCTGAAGCAGATGGAGATGCTCTGATCGGGACTCTGATCCTTGCCAGCGGACTCCTGCGTATTGAACTCCGTGTTGTCGGCCGCATCTTTCTGGAAAAGACCATAGTGTAATCGGAACAATAATCGTGATTGGCTCGAATACTAAGATGCGTTTGGATATAAAAGAAATGATGCTAATGTTGATACTCTCATACTCCTGCTACTAACAAGAATCGAGACGAAGCCAATCGAGTCCCATCCCGATCAATTCCAGCAGGCACATTGGTTACTGGATCGCTATCAGGGCGCCTGGAACATGCTGGAAATCAGGACTGCTGCACGAATAGCTATGCCAACTTAAAACACTGACTACCGACACAAAGGAATAGATGCGGAGATGAAGTTGTAACCTATAGCCTGTGCCCTACTGTGAAGCCTGCTGGGTGAGCTCTTGGCGCAGCATGTAGTGCCATCGCTGAAGTCACATCTCCAGGTACAGGGTAAGCTTGCAGCTTCTTGGGTGACGGATGAAAAAGCAGTAAGTATCAAAAACAACCCCAACGGATCAAAAGAAGGATAAACAATAATTCATTCTTCCTCTTAAAATATAATTATAAAGCGAACAGAGAAAATAAACATCTTTCATTGGCATTAGTTTTTCATTATCCTTCTTATTTTCCTTTTTGATCCCTATTACTTGTCGTTGATCCTTGTTTATTTGTTTTTGATGCCCATGCCTTTGGGGCCGGTGATGCGCCGTTTGTTTTTTCTTTTTCATTCGCAGCCTTGTCGCTCGTGTAGCTAAGACCACTTAAAGAGGGCATTGCCATCGACTCGACTTCACAAGCTGTGCACGCGTGAGAACTGCTTGAGCCACAAGATGCTTCTTAAAGCTCCAGAACTGGGGGTGGCCATGTGGCATATTCCTGCATTCCTACGTCCTATGCTGCTACACTAAACTCGCTTCGCTGGCTTCCGCTCCGACTGTACGTTGACACGAGTAGAAAAATTCGCAGCACGAGTTCTGCAAACCCTGCTTTTCAGCACTGAATGCTCCAGGTGAAACAGGCCCTTTGGGCGAAGTAGGAATAGGAGCAATATGTGTGACACATCGAACATGCAAAAGCTTGCAAACTGGATCTTCGAGCCAAGATCCACAATGGCTTTCGCAGCAAACTTACCAAGATCATATATGGACAGGTGGCTCTGCAGTGGACCTGTGGTGGGGAAGAGGCAGGAACAATGCCTTGCAAACCGCTGACTGCCCGGTTCATGTGAGTGACACATCTCAGCCGAGGGAGAAAAAGCCTTGCGAACATTGTCATGCCACAGAGATTGTTGTAGTCACAAGACACCATGTGCTGACTTCCCAAAAACGACATTCGCTTTTGGACCGCAAAAGGGGCCCGAGTTCAGAGACCTGACCATGCGGAGGTAAGCTTCCGTCCAGTGGGTTGAGCGCAGATGCTGTTCCTCTTCGTTCGCCCCTCGGCCGAGTGTTGCAGGTCAAAGATTGTCAAAACCTAAAGCTCTGAACGCCAAAACCTGGGGTGACAACCGTCGGCGAAGTGAGGTCTATGTCAGGCCGGATCTTGCCCCAGCCTGTTCATGGCTTCTTAGAAGCTGCTGCAAGTGAGGCCTCTTAACCATGCATGACAGGAGCTCAGTCAAGCAAAGTGTCGAATCCGATTCGTGCATTTTCCACGAAAACCCACCGATCTTCGAAGGCCCGTTTCCCAACATCTTTCAACGCTGTAAGCACCCAGCCGTCGCAGTTTGGACAGCGACCGGTGCCCTTTTTGAGCTCAGCCATCATGTTCTGCTTGAACCCGAAGCAGCCATCACAGCCTCACAGTGATGCGACTTCAACAAGCCTCAAACTTGTATGCTTACAATGCTCAGGGCGTGAAGGGCGAGCTGTATCGTAGCGTATAGATCGCTTCATGCTCCTAAGATGTCAGCTCGTCAGCCCCCGACCTTGCAATCGCCGGCCGTAGGCTCCCTTCGTGTTGTGTCGGTTCACGTTGGCCTGTTGGTCAGGACAACTTAACAGCTTCGCATAGCTTCGCGTTCAGACATGCGTGCTGACCTTGAGACGCCCCAAACTAGGCCCGAGGCTGCCAGGTACATCACAGGATTCGAGCCGATGCCCAAGCATCCGATGCACTTGCCGGAGCCTCTCCATAAAGATCCAGGGGGTGGCTAAGGGTTACTGTTGTTCTTCGGGCTTGGGGTTTGATTGAAACCTGTTGGGGCTCTATTTTTGGGCGACGCAAAGCACAGCTCCTGGACCTGACCATACCATAGCAAACGACCAACATCCGGCAACACCCGATATCACTGCTTGTAAAGCCATTCTCGCAGCGCGTCACATTCTGAAATTCTGAATCTAAGCCACTCCTCGAAGTAACCCCCCCCTTCATCTTGCTACGTTGCAATACATTGTGTTTTGCTTGCGCAGGCCCAGGTCTCATCTTGCACTTCTTGTGAAAAGCTGCACGTCTGAAGATGTGCTAAGGCTGCCTGAGCAAACCTGACATGGCTTGGGCTGTCTGGCCAGCCAGTCCTTCTCCTGCCAATGTGATGACATTGACAGGCCACGAGGCTACGGCTGGCAGCTACTGGTGCGCCCACACGCCTGTGAATCTTGAGCTGTGCTTGCCCTCATGTCTTGTGTGTGTATGTGAGAGATGACACTTCGCCGTCCTCCTGCTCTTTCCGGTGCCTGTCCGATGGCAAGTTGAGCACCAAGGCTGAATGAATTCTGAAAGCTCAGTGATACCTTAAGTTTCCGGTTGTGTGTCCGAAGAACCAGAGGGCCTCTCACGGTCCTCTTCGATCCGTTTCAGCTCCTCGATTCGGACCATCTCTTGATCTCAGTCGTTCATCGCCGTTAGCTTCTGTCGGCACACGTCGATACACATATTTGCTCTATTCTTGCTACCCTCATGGCCTTGTGTTCTTTATGGCTGAGCATGCGGCGCTGGCGCTCCCGCTCTTCTTTCCGCCTCCTCTCTTCCTCACGCAAGGGTTTTGGAGCGGATTTCGCCTTAGCCTTAGAGGGTGCACAATAACTCCTGCATGGTCGCTACTTGTGTGTCGGGCAAAGCCGTCTTCGGGAAGACCGTCCTCCTCCTGCAGGCGCCGCCGCTTTGCCTGGAGGGCAAGCTTTCTCTGGCGCCTGCCGGGATCAAGAGGTCCATGGATATTGTATTCTCAAGAAGAACTGATGATGATCTTCATCATGGCCAGCAATAACATTTTCTCGGTGCGATTCATCTTGTGTTGTCTTTCTTGTATATCCATGGATACAATGGGATATTCGAGAGTCACACCATCATCCACTTGTCTCTACAAGTCCATGGAAGGATGAATGAAGGAGGTCCTCTTCTCCTCTGCTTCCTGTTGCGCTCGGAGGCGCCTGGCGAAAATGCACACTAGAGATACGGGAGAGAAAGCCACAAAGTTCATGAAGGATTGGAGAAGTGTGAGCCTACATGAGATGCGGCCAGGCTGCTTCTCTTCTTCTACAGCTCGTCTTGCAAACTCCTCTTCCGCGCGCATTTGCCGCCACCTCGAGCGGTCTTGTCTAAATGCTACAATCACATCACGTTTCCAGACGTGGCCCACCTGCCATTGCCTCCGATGAGGTCAATGCGGTCCAGATGTGAGAAGTCCTGGACGTCTCGTCTTGCCAGTTCGGTGCTTCTGCAAGAACACCAAGTGCTCCGCAGCGATCCAGAGCCGAATTTCAAATGCCGAGGAGCTGGTGAGCTGGCGGTCTGCTCGGGAACCAGGCGATGCCGACTGAGCCAAGGCTCAGAGGGAAAAGGAACAGGGAAGATTGCAGCATCGCATATATTGTCGCAATGTCATGATTTGTCCAGTAATACCTGTTTACCATTGAATCTACATAAAAGGAAAACGGACAAGTCGACCGGTCACAGTGGTAACAGTACTCAAAAACATGTCACCTTCATTTCTCTCCCTTCGCTCAGTTCTGAGGGGTGGGCTTCAGGCTCCACTCACGCAGATCTCAGGCGACAAGAGGCGGACACAGCGAAATGGCAGGAGCAAGGAGCAGCAAACGCTCTAGAATGAAAGGAGAAGCACACGATGCCAGGGTCATGATATCATCACATCGTAGCACGGGTGAGGCGCCAGGTCGCTTGACAAATCGCCAGAAAAGAGATCGAGAACGTCGTCGTCGCGCGCGGCACACGTCGCGGTGACTACCCTACATTTTAAACCCTAAACCCTAAACCAACAAAGCTCATGTAAGGCCGCAGCTGTGAGCGGCGAGGATGCATGGGCTACTCCTTTCAGGCAGAGCGGTGCTTGGACTCGGACACCTCTACACGTGGGGACGGTCCTGGAGAGTGTGGTGTACTCCAGCCCCAGCGGCATCACTCTGAAGCCCGGCTTGAGCTACTCAAAGGCTGCGAGAAGCGCTTGGCCACAGCATCGTGCCGCACTTATCCCGGGGCCCGGCAGTGCTGCTATTCTATACGACAGACCCAACTTGGCATTCGTTTTTCTAGTGGAGTACCTCGGCAGCAAGGAATAAGGAATATTGAGGTGAAAAGGTAATGTAAACTAGCACACCATGAGGAGCTGCGGGCAGCAAACAAGGACTCTCGAACCTACAACAAGTACTGTATCCCCACGCTTCGGCTCACATGGTGGAGCAGCCATCCTCATTTTTGCTCTTCTTATCCTGACAGTGCTGGCAGATCTGGCGAATCTTCAGGTTTCACAGCCACATCCATGCCTTCTTCTCCTTCTTCTCCCGGCGCTTCTCTTTCTTCGACTTCTGTGTCTCCTGTTCATTAAAGACACTCACCCTGCAACAAACGATGACCTGGCATCAGTGTCTCTGGCGGAGTCTGAAAGCTGGTCGTTGTGCGGTATAAGGGGGCTACATGTGGTCCATGTCGGTGCTGGGAAAAACAATTGGGAACTGCACATATGAGCAGGCGAGTGGATCCGGCGAGCCTGCCAATTCGCTCGCATCTCTCAGCAGAGTCAAGAGGCCCGAATGCATGCATCCCGCCCTGAAGGAAAATAAAGATGTTGAAGCCCTGAGATGCAAATTTCAAGCAATGTCCTCGCTTGGCAGCTCGGCTTTGGAGCTGGTCCTGCGCAGTGCAGAGGGGCATGGCTTCCGCGTGTCGGTGTGGGAAAGTCGAAAAGTGGAGCGAGCCCGAAAGGACTGCAAAAGCATGCTTAACCCGCTCCTGTTTGCCGGAGCTTTGTCCGGCAGCATTTCAGGCGGCCCTCCGAGCGCAGGACTTGTGATCGAAGTGCCCAAGCCGCCATGCTGCCCATGCCCAAGCCTTGGACTCTTTGGCGTTCTGGTTGGAGGTCGAAGTCCGGCGGTGTCGGCAAGGCCGGCAACTCTGGCGCTGGCAGCAAGCTCATGGCAGCCTACATCGGAGTCAAGGCCAGCTGTCCAGGATCAAGGCATGCTCTGAACAATTCGATGTGTGGCGTAGCAGTCTAGCTGAACGTAGCCCCCGTGGGAAAAATGGATGACGGACAAACGCAAGCGAACCATGATGCAGCGTGTGCCTCTCGTGGATTCGGCAGGCTCAGACTTAGCTGCGGAGCCTGTGGACAGAAGATGTCAGAAAGCGTGCCTCAGGATCGACGATCTCACACACTCTCCCCCTATGCTCGAGCGCCTCTGCTGGTTCTGGGGGTGGCCCAACAACGCCCGCAGCCTCGGCGATCCGCCGAGCCTTAGCCGGCGTGCGAAGATTTGAGCGAAGCACGTTCGGGCGACGGCTCAATTGGAGTGGGCTCACCATCTTCAGAGATCGGCATGGAAGTGAGATTGAGAGATAACTAGTGAAACATGGAGAGAGGTGAGGGAGTGCGTGAGAGAGAGAGAGAGAGAGAGAGAGAGAGAAAGGCAGAGTACGAATCGCAGCGTGTGTGGATGGGGGGGTGGGGGGTTGGGGTTAGGGTTTAGGGTTGAGGGCGCGGGTTTGAAGTTCAGAGATTACGCCTGACACATGTTCATTTGCTTGGGACCTGAGATTGAAGTTTGCTAAAGTTTAAGATGTGAAGGCTGCATGAACCCTGAAAGGCTTTCGACCCGTATACTGCAATAAGGCACTTTGTCTGCTTAACCGCGATTGTTACATGAATGATTTTTCAGAAGCGAGAGAGAGAGACACACACATACACACACACACACACATGAGGGGGAAAGAGAGGGAGAGAAAGGGAGAGTTGGAGTGGGAGTGAGACAAAGAAAGGGAGACATGCGGGAGCACATACATATACGTATACGCTGTAAATAGAAAGATGTGTTTGCTATATAGCATATTGTATTATAGGAAGCCAGTGGGGAGAGCAAAGTTGGGACAGCCAGATTGGCCAAAACCCAATTTTCTGGGGCCGACCCTCAATTGTGCACAGTGCAAAATCACTCATCCCTAAACCCTAAACCCTAAACCCTCTAAGCAACAAGCTAGCACTTCGGGATGTCGCGGGCAGTCTTCCAGCTCCGCCTTAGCAATTTTCGACAGGAGGAAGCACTTCGAGGCCAGAGTGCATGGAATGATTATTCTACGATGTTGAGGGTGCAGACAGCGGGGTTGTAGAAGTCTTTCGTTTCAATACCCCTTGATATTCCACACAGTTGCCAGAGTTGGAAATGGAATGTCGCTTCATGGGGTGTTAGTGGGGCGCGAAGGCCGCCGTTTCTTGCCTGCTCCTTTAATCCATTCTCGCAAGCTCGACTCACAACGTGCCACGACATGAAAAGCTAGTGAGCCCACAATCTTGTCCCAAAGGGCCAAAGGGTATCTTGGGGATTCTGCTTCACTTCGGGGTGCTGAGATTCAGCTGCTCTCTGGGTGCCATGCGGCGCTCAGTGCATCCAGGGGCGGCTGCGCGCCGCCCAGGAGGTCCTCATTAGGGTTTAGGGTTTAGGGTTTAGGGTTTAGGGTTTAGGGTTTAGGGTTTAGGGTTTAGGGTTAGAAATGTCTCAGGCGCCTGAGGCAGGAAAGCACACCAATCTGCCCTCAAAAGCTGCATGGTGTTTCTAGCGCCTGTTCAACACAGCTATTGCGCCAGCAGCTTCCGTGCGGCCTGCCATGTGATGCCATACTTGGCCAACCTTGGCGCACGCACAGCCACTGGCAACGAGCTTCGGATAAGCCTTTCGCGACGGGCAAAGTCTGAAGATCACAACTCTAAACCCCTAATGGGGGTTTACGAAAACAAGGTGCCCCCAATATAGTCCCAACTAGCAGGATTCCCTTACAATGAGGACCATTAAGGGCCCCAAGGTGCCCCCCTATTTTCGTAAACCCCCTAGATGTTTGCCGAAAGCCATCTGCTCCAATTCTGTCCAAAAGCTCTGGCTCCAGGAAGTGTCGCACCTGTCCAAACACGAGGTTGTTGGTTGTTTGGGTTTTAGCGCTTGGGGTTGAAGGTTTGGTAAGCACACACAGAGATTCCGCTTTATCTCTTTGCTTGCAGTGATTCGCCGTTTACATTCTGGGTCAGGGAAATAGAGTAAGATCTGTTTTGGGCCCGACGGCTCAGTATGCGACGCTGTGGCATCGAGCATGAATT